CTACATCAGTGCCAGTTTTTAAGTCCTTATTAAAAACCTATTTTTATTCCCTGGCTTTTAACTCTGTGCGTAACTGACATTTTTATTAATTTTGTTGCTATGTCTGGTTTCTTTTATTTTATTACTATATCTATATTTGTATTGTACAGCACTTTGGTCTACCAGGTGTGTTTTTAAAGTGCTATATAAAGAAATGATGATGATAACACTAAATAATTTTATGGGACATTCATCTTCTCCTTTTTGCAACAGTGCTGCATTTTACTAGTATATTTTTATGATCTTTAGAGGTTTTTTATCACCATTTTATAACATTACTGGAGTAGCTGACACTTTGAGATAATTTTCTGTGGAAGAAGAGTCGTATGATCCGTGAAACGCCCCTTTGCGATAGGTCAGTACCATGCCTTTCATGTGAACTTAGTGAGTTGATAGTCACCTTTGTGTGACCATTTATCCCTATCACCTATGTTTAGATGTCTAGATAACAGGATGACACCATATTTGTAGAATATGGCCCTGATTGTACTGTGGTACAAGTTTATTTATAACAAGTTTATTGTTTCCACCTTAAGGAAAGTCGTTTTCTTGCATATTTGCTGTTTTTTTTTATTTATTTTTTTAAGGTTCAGAGGCTGACATGCAGCCCTTGCTCTCATACATATCTTGGCGTGCACTAGGAGACGTAAACACATGGCAGAGAAATGGTGTTGATGTTCTTATATCATGTAAAAGATTTACATGGTCATTATCACAGTATGATATGATAAGAAGTCACAGCTAGCAGGCACACTATGTGCCAGATTATCATATTTTATACTCCTCTAAAGGTGCTATTCTCGGGTTACTTCCTTAAATATACAGCCCTTTTTTATCGTCTCCTGGAAATAAATAATGCAAAAGTAAAAATAAAGTGCCTTAACCTTATTATGCACAAAGTAATGCCAGACTGTTACCTCCTATTAAGTATGAAGCTGCCAGTGCTAAAATGCAATGATTGCTAGTTAACATGGGCTCAATGAGCAGCAGGTGTTAATCAGCTGACAGTGTGAACGAGACAGAGCTGCAGACTAACAGGAGAGATGAGGAAAGTGCACAAGTTCTATTAGTAAACGGTTGTTTGAACAGGCTGTGAATGACGCAGGGCTGATGATACTCTGGACACAAAAGGTGTTATGTCTGTCAGGTAAACATGCGTAGGCCAGTGTGCACTAAAATACCATTACAGTTGCACAGAAGCTTCTCTTCAAAACACAACGAGAAACTGCAGGTGGCCTTAACCTACCACTGCACCCCTGGCAGAGTGAGAGGCTTGTCTGTCAATTAGATCATGAAGTACAAAGTACTCATGTTTGGGGGAAAAGAAGTTAAAATTCTGGTGCCTTTACAATCTTTTGGCATGTGCCCACTTGTCCTTTAAATCATTTTCTAACAATTTTAAGTCAGTTAAGTTACTGTTAAAATCCATGTTTTTATTTTTGTTTTTGTAATGTTACCTTTAGATCAGGGGTCGGCAACCCTAGGCACGTGAAGGGTTAACTGATGGCACGACCATAGCTGGAATGGCCATCGGGCATACCGGGCATTTGCTCGGTGGGCCGATGGTAATTTTTTGTTTTTATGGGCCGATGATTTTTATTTATTTCTTTATTTGTAACGGTATAAGCAATGAAAGGTGGTGGACTGGCCAGATGCTGGCCGGTGCGTAAAAATAACTCAGTTGTTTGGTGGCTATGGCGGAGCTTCCACAGATTCAATAACATTAGCAAGTGGTGAAGGCCAGCAGGTGGATGAAGGAAAGGGGAGGCAGGAGGAGGAGAGACCCGAGGCGGCCACCGGTCAGGTGTCAGGTGAACTGAACTTCAGGTAAGAAGTTATGACCTGCAGTCTATCTGGGTCAGATATGAACCAAGTACAGGTGGAGTTTATTTTCGTTGTGCTGACTTTTTACAGTCAGTTACAGTAACTCGTACTGCGCACTAGCTAGCATGACAGAGTTTCTATACAGCTGGGTGGATGCTATGATGTTACTGATAGTGAAGTTTCATAAGGTTAGTAGAGTTGCCAACCATCCCGTATTCAGAGAAAATATTATGTGTTTCATATTGAGCTGAAAAGGAACACAGTTTGTCCTGGACTTTAGCTAGAATGAAAAAGACACAAAGCTGGAGTTACTCTGTGTCTTTGCTGCACAGCTGCCTCTTCTTCTCTCATTCTCTCCCTCCCTCTCCTGTTGCTACTTCAATCATGCAACTGATCAATGATCAGCTGATCGGCTTTTCTCTCTTGTTTCTTTACGCCAGAAAGAGGAAACCGGCAGATGTCGCGCTAAACAACAGCAGCACGTTTAAGCTTGATCAGCTGTTGTTAGAATTTATTTAATATTAATTTCTAGTATCAGCTGATGTTTGCTGGAGCCACAGCTGTAAAAGCTGCCGGTCATGATATCGGTTTGGTTATCTGGTGAGAGGGAAACATGAAGATGAAACCAGGAGATGTCCTTACTGAATCATCAGAGCTGAACAGGTGATGGAGAAACAGGTTTACCTTTTAGGTGACATGAATGAGTTGAAGGGAATTTATGAGCTGTTTCTGAGAGACAAATAACCCCAGGATCCTTTTTTACGTAGCTGACAGCTGGTAACTGTGCAGGGGCGGGTCTAGCAAAGTTTTGCCAGGGGGCCAGGTAGGGCATTAGCAGGGAAGGGGGGCACAAAGAGAAATACTTTTCTTTCTTATTCGCATTTAAAATGTCTCGCTTTTAATAAATAATTATCTGAATCTTAAACCAAAGTTTTTATCTGATGTAAAATGTATAGAAATCATACATATACCAACAAGATTGTACATCACTGTCACAACACTGTAATACCTGGTGGGCCGGTCTCTAGTCAAAATGCCCGAGCCGATTTTTTTGTCCAGCCCTGGGCACGACACGCAGAGAATTAATCTGAGAAGGTGCAATAAAAAATAAATGGCTGCGCCAGCAGTGCACATTGCAAATTAGCTCGCATAGACACATTAGTTGTGCCGCTTCTTAATGACGGTATCTTAGCTAACAACCCCAACTACCAGATTCAACTTGTAATTGCCTAAAAATAACTTAGCCTACCGGTGAGAGGGACGTTGTTAGCTTTCCACATTCCGACACTTCAAAAGCTTCAGGAGTTTTCCGCTCAGCGCAGCATCAGCACCGCGGAATTACACGGATACATCCGTAGACTCGAGACAGAATTCACAATGCTTTTTTGGGACTTTCAGGTGTATGGACCAATGTGTTCTTTTCTGATCAAACCAGAAAGCTTTAATGAGCAGCTGGGTTTGTCTCGCATTAACTGGCTGAGTTAATGCCAGTTAATGCAACATCGAAGCAGCTGGAATCCACAGCTGTGTGTGTTCATGCAGCTTGCATTATCACCTGCTGGACATCATCCTGACAAGTTTAACTGTCTTCAGAACATTGCAGAGGCCTTATTGACAGTATTTGGCTCTGCATATCTGTGTGAGCAGATTTTCTCTCACATTAAGAGTGTCCTCAGGTAGCCGTCTGAATATTGGACACTCGGAGACCTGTGTCTTGTTATGGATAAAAAAGTGTTTTTTTTTTGTTTCAAAATAGCTGATAACTATTCGCTGATAGCTGCCAACATCTGCAAACAAATATAATTCTATAAAGTGGTTCTATATAGTGTGTAATTGTTAATATAGAGTGTTATTAAATTTATTGCTAATGCAATCATATGGCACATTGACTTCTGAGGAAATTTTAGATGGCACTCATCATCAGAAAGGTTGCCGCCCCCTGCTTTATATTATATTATATTATATTATATTATATTATATTATATTATATTATATTATATTATATTATATAGGTTTCATGTTGGCACAGATCGTACTTTGATCTCAGATTACTGCCTGAAATTTACAGCACTTATTTACAACTTAATTGAAACAAATTAGTCTTTGAAAAAGCTTACATACTTCCTTAAAAATGTTTGAGCTATTTCCATCCTGACTGATTCCCTGCTCCCTCTTTGTAAATCACCTCGTATCACTTTGATCAGATAAGTTGACCTGTTGAAAATGGCGACTCTGAATGCAAATTCTTGAACACAGAGACTGAAAAATATAATCAAATCTCACCAGTTAACATTGAAACCACTTAAGTGTTTTTGGTCTTTTTCTAACCGTTTGCTTCAAGTATTTGCTGCTAACAACCCTGTAGTAACGCTAATCTTAAGGGACTTCCCTTACACACGGATGTAGAAAATTTGTTTGAATGTTTCGTGAGCTACACATATTCTTAATGCAGATGCTCACACTGTCCATTTGATTTGATAGGATAATTTTTTTTTTTTGCTGCAAATAAAAAAAATCTTATCAATCAGACCGCTGCATTTGGCAACGAGTACGTCTTACTTCAAAACATGTACCGGTACTTAATTTGGAATTTTGTGTTGCAGGTTTAAATTTTTTGTTTTTTGCACCTTGCCCTGTGTCTAAAGGCCTTAACTCCTGCAGTTTTAAAGCTTTCCAATAATTTTTTTTTGCTGAAAGGTGTCAAGCGCTGTTAGCATTTTCAAGACCATAAAGTTATTGCGATCCTGTGGCCCTGCTCGAGGGAAACCTGTTCAAAGCTACGGCTAGCTCACAATAGCCTGTTGTACTGGATGAACTGCTCATTTCCATTTTATCTTTATTACAGTCTGCTCCTGAGGTTCACAGAGGATACTTTCGATCCAGAGCAGTCTGCCACAATAGGTTTTACACACTCACACACGCACACACATATATGAAAACTACTATTGATTTTAAACTTATAACTTAAAGATTTTTTCTTTTTTGTCTCTTATAAATGATCAGGTGTGGACTTCAAAGTAAAAACACTTGCAATCGATGGAAATAAAGCTAAGCTCGCCATATGGGTAAGACAGAAGTTTTTATTCCTGTTGTCTACATTTCATGTTTGGGGGGGAAAAAAAACACGATGAAGTAAAACGTTTCTCCACAAGATGGTGACATGGTACAGCCAAAATTGAAGGACGTAGGTGGTATTCCCAGTATCCAGTAAAACCATGCTATGCACAATGAATCCATAACCTAAGCCCCATACAGAGAAGTGCTTGCTTGAAATTTCTTTCTAAAAAGTTATTATTATTGATATTATTATTTTATCTGGTCTCAATAAGAACATGTGTGGGAGGTTTATAAAAAGTGGAAAAACCTAATGGCCTCTGTTTTTATGTGATGAGGGGAAAAGTAAGGTTTATATTGCATCTGTTGTTAAAAATAATGCAGTGTTCTTGGAAAGCGTTGTCCCGGGCATTCACATAGACGTTACTGTAACACAAAACACCTAGGGTACCATTGTCCCATTCCCTGTATGACTCCAACTCTTTCTCCCAATGGCAGCAACACATCAGGCCATGCCACAAAAGGGAAAAAAGACACACAAAAAAAGATCAGAACCAGCTCTGCGACTTGGTCTCCAAACTATTCACATCCCAATCAGATTGAGTATCTGCCAGAATCTATATGGACCCTGTCCTGCAATCACTGGGACCTAAAGGCTCTGTTGTCAACCTTCACAACTAGAAGACACACACAGGGTCAAAGGTGGAATGGCAGCAGATCAGGGATTTAAAGAGTATTAGACAGTTTTATTGTGGTCCATCACTTTATATTAATAGTGTTGTTTTCCAGTCAAACTTGATAGAAAAAAAAAAAAGATTAATTGTTCCTGAGGCAACAGCAAGCTCACATTGTGACTGTCCGAGTGGAACTTATCAGAAACACATGGTCTGTGAGGTCGGATGCTGGGAATTGGCTGCTGTGCCGCTGGCCTTAAAAGTTTGGTATCAGAAATCTTTTGCCGCTTTTATTTTCGTAGGACACAGCTGGACAGGAACGGTTTCGCACTCTGACACCCAGCTATTACCGCGGCGCACAGGGAGTCATACTTGGTAATTACCTGTACTGCAACATAAATCAAGATCAAAACAGACCGATACTGGCAGTTGCATTTCTGTCAGTGCTGTTATAGTAATGTAATGATTTTCTTCAGCTCCTTCTTACTCGTCACGTCTTCCTTTTTTCAGTGTATGATGTCACAAAGCGTGACACGTTTACGAAGCTCGAAAACTGGCTGAACGAACTGGAGACCTACACAACACGCAACGACATAGTGAAAATGCTGGTTGGGAACAAAATTGATAAAGTGAGTCACTTTTACAAATCCTTTTAGCTTGCGCTCTGGTTTTATGAATCCAGTTCATCCTATATTGTTTAATAGTGCATTTTGTCTGTGAAGGTTCTCAGTCATCCAGGTCATCATAGTCTAAGGAGCTGGGAAAGAAAAGCGTCTGGACTTTTTAAAGTTTCCTCGAAGACGTTTCACCTCTCGTCTGAAAACCTTTTTCAGTTCTAAGAGCAGATGGTGGAGATTTCCCACGACATCCCAGTGTACTTCAGACCCAGCCACACACTCAGACAAAAACTGGTTCAGCCCAAACACAAAACTCCCAAACACATACTTAACAACGTAATATATGCTGCACAGAACAGCGAGGAATGCTCAAACCTTTACATTGGAGAAACCAAACAGCCACTTCATGAACGCATGGCACAACATAGAAGAGCCACCTCGATGGGACAAGACTCAGCTGTCCATCTCCATCTAAAGGACAAATGTCACTCTTTCGAGGATGCCAATGTTCACATATTGGACAGAGAAGACATATTGTTTGAAAGTGTGAAAGAAGCCATCTATGTCCACTGTGAGCGACCATCTTTGAACAAAGGGTGGTGGCTTACGGCACCAACTGTCTGCCATCTATAATCCAGTTTGGAGCTCCCTTCCCAGACACCTTAACGCCCCCTCACATCCTGGCCTTCTGACCTCAGTAAGGCTACGTCCACACTAATGCATTGTCGTTTGAAAACGCAGCGTTTTGAAAACGCTCTCAAAAACGCATACATTTCAAAACAGAGCTTTCGCGGATCAGTGTGGACAGCGAAAAACGCAGACTTTTGAAAACGATGATTCATGTTAGTCATATGATGCAGTCATGTGACCACTTCACCCAATATAGCGGAGGGCATTATACCTCTTGGAGACACTCCCATAGGGCTTAAAATCTGGGACTCTTCACCAATTACCCCTTAGAACTGAAGAAGCTTCTCGGATGAGAGGTGAAACGTCTTCAAGGAAACTTAAAGAAGTCCAGACGCTTTTCTTTCCGAGCTCCTTAGAATAGTGCATTTTAATGAGTGTTGCTTGTCTTGTGTTGTACTTTTATGATGCGTACACAATTCTCCCTCACCATTCGGGCAAATGACAAATGTTTATTTTATTTTTTTTGTAAATATTCAGGACGACCGCGAAGTGGACAGAAACGAGGGGCTGAAGTTTGCTCGGAAACACTCTATGCTTTTTATCGGTGAGTTTCTGTGTTCGAGTAACGTCAGGCGTGGCCGGTCATGCTCGTTTAAAGTAAGAGAGGCATAAAATGTAACTTAAAGCTATTAGAATTTACTGTGGTGCTGCTTAAAAGTCAGGACTGTTAGTGCACAGCTGGAACAAGCCAAGACATCATTGAGTTAGTCATGCGTGTAGTTCAGATGAGATGAGCTGTGCTGTTTATACTGCTCGCTCATTTCTGAGTCTCTGCTGTTGAGAGACACGGCCACTCAGAGGAGCTGCATTATGATTAAAATCTAGCCAGCTTTCATTTATCAAATCCATGTCCGCACGTGTTCCTGATTCTCCTCTCCAATCTGGCCCTCTCTGGTAAATTAGGTTAAGGTTTGTGCAGAGTTTCCATTTTAAAACGGCCAAATTAAGGGGTTTTGAAAAGGGCAGGGCAAGAAGAATCTGAAGCTTTCATCTGCAGCAAGGATGTCTTCATCCTGATGGATGACTTCTGCTTTTATGAAGTCATTTTATACTTTATTAGTCATGTTTGTCAGCTGACTGATATGTTTAGTTTTGGTAGCATGCTGGAAAATGCTCACATTTACTTATTTACTGATCTCTTAAATTCTTCCCTTACACAGAGGCCAGTGCAAAGACCAAAGATGGCGTCCAATGTGCCTTTGAGGAGTTGGTAGAAAAGATCCTCCAGACTCCGGGGCTCTGGGAGAGCGAAAACCAGGGTCAGAAAGTTCGGCTGGGAGACCAGGAGCATGCCAGGCCTGGGGCGTGCGGAGGATACTGTTCCATACCCTGAAATGAAAAAGCACAGACGTGAGAGGACTGACTAGTGACGGGAAACGGAGAGTGAGCGAGAGGTGGAAGTGGATGAGCACCTTTTTATTTGTCGGGAGTACGTCAGTCGGTCGAACAGACACTGCTGTTTGCACACTTCCTTTTCCATCACTTATATATCACTACTTCCTGTTTAAAAGAATCACGCAGAAAAAGAGCCTCGTGTTTGAGGTGGGTGTTTTAAATTAACCACGTGGAGTATGAGTCTGTCATCCGAGTATGTATGGTTTGAATTTATCTTGGTGGCTCAGCTGTACATTAAGACTTCAGGTTACACAGTTCTTTCAGCGTGGACCGATTTTGTGGTTAGAATAGACAGCCTGTCAGATTTTAATCTAATAAATTAATTGAAGTCTCCTTCATCTCTAAACAAATCTCACCTTCTATGTAGCTGCAAAGTACAAAATCTTCTGCCATACATATATTAGGAAGCTTTATTAAACGCATACTATAGCATTGGATTGAGGATTAGGGTGGGAAACATCCAGGCTAATGCAGGTTTTCATTTCAGTGCACATGAGAACACTGTGAATTCTCAAAAATCTAACCTTTTCCAATGACACCCCAACCGCCACCCAGTTACTGACATCAGTTTGTCTTTTCTGTTCACTCGTGTGTTGTCTGTTTGTCTATTATGTCGATTCTCTGCTTCAGACTATTTAGATGCCTTCAAACGAATTGATTTCCTGTGTTTATTCCTTTTGGCGTGAAAATGTGCAAGAAAAGTGATCAACTTTGTCTTGCAGGATTTCCTGTAACCGAACCCATCTCTGTCTTTGCATGCGTGATCTGGACGGTAACTTCTAGAGCTACAAGTGTAAAGTTTACAGTACCACGAGCTCTTGCAATAAAATGTACCTTTTTATGCACTTGAGCTCATAGATTGTTTTTTAATACTAAACTTTGACCTTGTAATCTTGTTTTCGCATTTATTTTGAAGGATTCATTTAGTGTTGTCCAAGTTTATTGAAGGTATTTCATACTTAACATAGCTGTGTTCTTTCCCATCTTCAGTATATTATGAACTTGATGTGTTTTTGCTGTTTGTTTCTGTTTTCTCGATAAAAAATTATGTTGAACTCTTCGCCCTGCTACACCCTTTCTCTCTCCCCCCGCTCCCCCATTGCTTTTGCTGTGCATCTGTTTCAATCATATAAAGTAATATGTTAAATCGATATCTGCCTTAATATCGAGATGCATTTGCTAGAGTTATGGTCAATTAACGTTTGAATTGTTTCAAACTGAAATAAATGACAAACCTCAAGATGCCGTCACTCGTGTCTGTTGTTTAATGGCCCTGTGGGATCTGCCTTTTAGTTTCCGTGTTGTGTAGAAGCCCACCTAATCAAAAGCAGGTTTACAGTGGAAACTTCAAGTGAGGCGCTCTTTCCATAATACTTTGTTGATGACTAGCCTCCTGCACATGTAAGACTGAAAACATTCCTTGCAACAAAAAAACAAAACAAAAAAAAAAACAGACCAAAACTGGGACGTGTGGAAAAATCCAGTTAATCATGTTGTTTTAAAAAAAAAAGTTCCAGTATGTGATTACAAGCTTGATGTCAGGATGTCCCCAGATGCAACAGGACGAGACATTCTTCTGAAGCCTGAAGGGTACTTGGTATTTCCATTATTTATTTTCTGCAGCTGATCGTGTGTGGAGGAAATAGAATTCCTGAAATGTCATTCAATATAAAATAAATTAAAAACATTTGTGAATGTTTCATTGTGATCTTTGCTGTTCCAGGAAAATGAAAAGGTTGATTTTTAAAACAGAGAGCACATCTATTGAGAGCAGCTTACGTTATTATTCCATGACACCACAGTGGCAATTCCATTTGAAACTTAACAAAAACCTTACATTCGAGCTGCTTGGGTGGGGTCTCTGTGTACATTGCTACTACAACATTACTATCTCTCTGTAAATGGTTATGGGGATTTGTTAGCTATAGAGTTATATACAAATTTGTTGATGGGAAGTGGTGCTATATAAATAATCTCAAAGGGCTTCATATTGTAAGGTAAAGAACCAACAGTAATATAAGCCCAACAATCACGCAAACCTCCTATAAGCAAGCACTTGGCGAAAGTGGGAAGGAAAAACTCCCTTTTAACAGGAAGAAACCTCCAGCTGAATGTGGCCCAGGCAGGGGCACCTATCCATCACAAATGTTAGCAGTGAGGGGAAAGAGAAGAAAACACAGAGACACACTGGGTGATGTGTTTCTGGTAACTTGTTCAGTGTCTGTTCTTTTAGCACAAACTAGCATCTTTAGGAAATCATACATGATCAGCTCTTTGGATGCTAAGCTCTTCCTTGTTCACTAAATAGCTGCTATCCATGTCTAGTGTGTGGCCAGTACTCTTCAAGAACATCTACTTATGGTTTGGCTAAAACACTGAAGACATGCATCATAAGGTCAAAAACAATGAGTTAAGTGAGTTCAAAGAGCTCCAAATGCTGTGGTTTCATCACTGTGAAAACACGCATTCACATGGAACCATTGTTTTTAAAAAAGTATTAATATGGCAGCTCCAATATGTCTGTGAAGGTTCTCAGTCATCCAGGTCATCGTAGTCAAAGGAGCTTGCAAAGAAAAGCATCTGGACTTCTTTAAGTTGCTTATTATCTTGCTTATTCGCATGATAAGGTGGGGCCAGGTTTCACAATGAACTCACCCGAAATTCTGGCTGATTGGGACCCACACCCAGTTTCACACCTTGGCTCAGGGGATTAGAGGATCATCAGGGGGTCCTTTTGTCCCTCTGTGGGGGGTTACTCCCACTAGGTTTATATCTGGGACTCTCCACCATTTGACCTTAGAACTGAAGAAGCTTCTCGGATGAGAGGTGAAACGTCTTCAAGCAACTTAAAGAAGTCCAGACACTTTTCTTTGCAAGCTCCTTTGACCATGGCAGCTCCAAGTTTGTAACAGGAAACTAGGATTTGGCCCATGTCTGTTTCTAGCCTTCCCTCCATGTTCCCTCCAGGAACTGTCTCCCTGGGCCACTATAACACTCTTCTTCCATCAGTACAACCCTTTTAAAATCCACTTTGTGTAACGATGCAGTAAAACTTCACCACATACGTCTGCACACGTGAAAACTGAGACTAAATACAGCTCAGCAAAACAAAACTGTGCATAGAAATTACTCTAAGCACACGACTATTCAAAGGATTTCACATTAGGTTTATTGAAATAGCTGCTGTCAAACATTAGCATTGGATGATGATCCAGTCTCTTGGAAGTTAATATAACTTACTGCAACAGAGGGGGGCATGAGGAACACAGCAAAAAACAGTAACAACTAATAAACAGCATTAGGTTAGTGTTAAAAATGGTTACAAACATTAAAGTTAATCAGCATTACAAAACAAAGATCTCAGAGGCTGTACATATATATATATATATATCGCAAGGCACGTGGACGTCTGGTTTTCCTGTATGAAACAACATGTTTAATGCCTACACACTGTTTGTCAGTGAGACTTTGACAGTCTGGACCTCAGAGATATGAGAGGATTTCTGGATGATGCGGTTGGTGAGAGCGGGCCCGGTGGCACAGCTCTGCTGTAGACCTGAGGCAGATCCTGTGTTGCTCATCCCGTCTGTGATAGTGGTCTTTGCTACAGAGAGAGGCCCTCGGGTGTAGCTCTGCCCTGTAGCAGCGCTGGACACTGGAGCACTGCTCTGGTCTGCAGTGCAGCTCTGCCCCTGGGCCAAGCTTGTCAGAGCCACAGCAGCGTGGATCTCCCTCCAGCCTTGGTCATCTTGTCTCTGCTGGCCTCTGAGTGGCTGCTGGTCCCTGTGAATACATACATACATATAGAGTATACACATATCATTTGTAGATAATTTATAATCACCCACGCCTTCCTTTAAAAAATGATCTAAACGCCAATTTCAGATATCCAGAGCCAAAAAACCCCCACAGAAAACAAAAAAGCATCTCTTTATAAAAGTCAGATGATTAGTGGTTTGATTTCAGTGAGATTATAAAATGTATGTATTCAGTAATGAATGAGTAAACTTACCTGTCACATTTAGTTGAATTGTAGTCGCTTGTATCTGTAAAAGAGAATAAAAAGACTCAAAACGTGCCATGAATCAGTTCGACTCGACAGCAGTGAAACTACAGACAGTTTAGTCATGGGACAATGAGTGTTTGGATTAAGCTTTGGAATCATATATTAGTGATAAATACATGTTTTTTTGTGGATACCCATGGGCTTGTGTGTGCTTGTGTATGTTTTAATGGCAGTACATTCTTATATGTTTGTGTCTCTGGATGGATTTTAACATGCTGAAAAGTGTATTGGTCTGTCTGTCCTCAACTATTCAACTGCTATTCAGTGTTGAGCGTTCAAGAGGAAGAAAAAAATCTTAAATGTACACTGTATCTTGTGGACACCCTGTTTTCATGTTTTTTTTAACAGCCATATGGGTCACATAAATGAATACGACCATCATCTAAACCTGTTAACCCCTTAGCAGTCCTATTAGTCCCCTAAACCATCCAATGTCCCGTGGGCGGTACGTCCGACTGCTAACAGTTTAAAGAAAGAAGGATGAGTTGCTCTGTCAGTGCCCTAAATAGAAACAATCTGGGCATTTTTAGGAGCAAGAGAAGAAAAAAAAACGAACTTTTCAGTAATATATCGCTACATGGTTTCTGTTTGTGGTCAGCAAATAAGTGTGCATTATATGTAAAACATATTTTCCATTTCAGCTTTGGAATATTGCCTATATTCACTGGAGCAGATTGAAGCTGGTCAAAAACTGATTTTTCTTCAGAGAGGACTAGACAGGGAAATTAGAGGTCTGCTGTGAAACACAGTCTTTCAATGCTAACAGCCCGAAACATTCCCATCTCTGACTGTGAAAAAACATAGGCCAGGGCCAAAAGCAACTACTTGTTGATAGTAAATCATTTTGCTGTCTTATGCTTTTCTTTTGCTACTGAATGTTCTTCGGCCTATAACCTCGCCAGTAAAATAGTTTAGCACTTCAGTTGTATTTATTAACCCGAAAAAACATTGTTTCAGCTCTGGTGAGTCTTAGATTTGCAGCAAAGATCAGTTACAACAAAATTTTACAAGGGGTAACATGAAGCTGCTGAGACGTCTCCCTGCTATTACATTGTCCCGCAGTGATGCAATGTCATTTCATGTTGGATCCATAATTATGGCCATATAAGGGATGGTTTCATATTAAAAAGAAACAAACTATTTCATTTTGTTCCCGAGTACAACGACAAGAATGATGGCGCTCAAATGTCTGTATAGCAAATAGCCCATAAAACTAAAGCAAGCAAGCGAGTTAATTTAGCTCAGTAAAAACTGTCTCGAGGTAACAAAATCCACTTTTTGATGGATATACTATATTTGTTTCAATAAATGCCAAAGTTTAGAAACATGTAGTAGCTACATAGCAATGTCGTTAAAAACAATATGGTGCCTAACCTGTAAAACTCTATTTGATGTTTTTACAATTTTTTTTTTTTTAGTGTGTGTGTGTAGATGATATGACTGAACAGATGGTATAATTAATAAGTTCAGAAAAGCAACATTTTTACATTTGGAAAGAGGCTGTTTTCCCTACTGTTTGGGCTATGCTAAGCTAAGCTAAGCTAACCATGCTAAACGTATTACTAACCTACTAAAAAATTTGAATTTCTTTAAATATGAAAAAGTAACATAACTTTTGCGTTAACATTGTCTAGCTTATGCAAGTTTCTGGCATGTTGTCATTTGCACATTGTTTGAGAGTTTTTGGTCATATTGGTTGTGCCACAGCCACATACAGCCACCGGTCATGAGGGAAAACTCTGTATAAACAGCCTGGTTGGAGATTGGTTGTTGGAAGTTGCTGGCTGGCACTAGGTAATTTTAGTTTCAAAGATGTGGCTTTGGCCATTAATGTGTATGATACCAAATTTTCCACAAACATTTGCTAACTACTTGCCAAGTGATAGCAAAGCTTGAAAACTATAAAAGTAAAGCATTTGCCTTCTAAATAAAAGTTGCGTCTCAGCACAGGCTCCATTTCTGGTCCGTGTTACATTTTTCACTACTGCACAGAGAGTAGCTAGTTAGTATTTTCAGATAAGCCGGTGTGCTTTATACAAACTACGGAAGACCGCGACAATCTGCTAGTGACTAGTAATTGTCAGGTTGTCACTGGCTGGTTTCTAAGCCTGGATGATTGGTTCTTAGCAATCGATTTCACAGCAAATGCAGGTTAGGGAATACATTTGCTTGATGGTCATGGACCGGTCTCTAAGTCTATGTGACTGGTGCCTTATTCACCCGATCCTACATTGCCACATGTCCAAAATGGTGGACATGTTAAAATGATGCGGTTAGTGGTCACAAGTTTGCAAAACCTCAATACTATTTAGTAATAAAAGATTAACAGATCACCAGACAATGAATTAATATCTACATGAGATCATTAAAACCTTGGCGCTCTCCCACAAAATAAGTTGAAAACCGCTCACATGTCCCAGTGTCAGTGATTATGAATTTTTTCCCAGATGTATAATTCAGATCCACAATACAGCATATACGAAACAAAAACCTTCATCTATGCTTTCACTAGAAACAAAACAGGTAGTTATGCATTTCACTGCTCCGCATCCAATAAAACCTCATTCTAGTCTAGTTTATGGCCCTCCAGGCTTTTTAAGGGAAATACTGAACTTGCTGTGAGTGTCAAATTATATAGTATAGAAATTGCTATACAGCCAATATTAACATCGCAAACATAGACTCTGCTACTAGACTTTTACTGCCTGTGGGAAATAAACCGATATCTTTTAGGTGTCCTCGTAGGTTAGTGTGTAGTGGCATCACCTATTAGCAAATCACTTTGAGTTTAGTGACTGTTTTAATCGTCTCCCGGGCAGAGTTAAATGTGTTAATGGTGTTAGCGCCTGTCATGAAGCTGGCAGCTTAACTTTCCACTTCACCTCCACAGAGGAGTTGCAAACGCTGCAAACACCCTTAATATGACCGTCAGGGATACATTAAAAGTTTGTAAAAACATTTCAGCAGCGCTGCATGTAGTGTTTGATGACATCATGAAAACCTCAAAGAACCACCAAAAGAAATATAATTTCAAGTGAGTATATTACACACTTACAGGAATGGTTCAGCATTTTGGGAAATAGAGTTGACCTCAAGAATTATTCTATGTCTAGCAGCTAAGCTAAGCTCAAGTTGATCGAAATAACTGAGCTTGTTTGGACTCTTTCTGTAAATAGTGCTGCCTATTAACTAGTTACATGCAGAGACAGATAACTGAATTATAAACAAAAAATGTTGATTTATTGACTGAAAAATGCATTTGAACCATAATTACTGGTCAAAAATTATTAAAAAATAATTTACATTTGTTCTCTTTTAGCTAACAAAGCTAATGTAACATTCCTTTAGTTGTGTCTTTCCACCATGTAGGAATACCATGTTTTGGCAAACTATACTTTAAGATAAAGAGGAGTACAACGTTATAAAGTGTAGGATGGCTTAGAGAAGCCCTGACTCACTGATGATGGACTGCCAGATAGAAGAACATTCATTTCTGTAAGCAACCAGTACTGTTGCATGTGTCATTTGACAAGAATTCCTTTCAATGTTGAAAATTCACCATTGCTTTTAACCTGAAGTTAGTATAGGTTTGTAACACTACAAAGTATTGTTTGATCTGTTACCAAGTAGCAACAACCAGGGCTGAAACAGGACGAAATGTGGAAGTGCAAAAAGACGCAATTCCTTCGATGGCCACATGACGCTAGCTAACAATTTTGGTTGCTATAGCTAATTTTGTCTTCATTTATCTATCCGAGTGTTGCCAACTTAGCGACCTTTTTGCTATATTTAGCGACAAATCTAGTGACAAATCTGGCGACTTTTGCTGATGTTATTGGAGACTTATGATGACTTTTTGACGTGAAAGCACATATCGCTCTTACTCTCAACAAGCAGCGGGTGCTGCCGTGGGTACCTCGCCCGTGCTATAGCACTCACAGGCGGCGGATAGTCCTTATGCAGCAGTCAACCCCAGCTGCTGTCAGAGCAGGAGATGTTCACACCTTGCTTCCAAACTCCAAATGAATCGTGCATGAGCTCCTGCCCTGACTGTAACGCAGTCAGTTCTTCTTTTACTGTTACTTTTTGTGGATCACAAGGTTTAAAACTACTTAAACACACACACAAACACACAAAGTCGCTGCACCAGAGTGCCTATTTCGGGTCACTTTTGCTGGTCCCAAGCCCAGATAAAGGAGGAGGGTTGGAATTCTGACATTAAAATAAACAATAATTGCTAAAAGAAATTTAATTTGTAGATCTAAATATATTCTAAATGCATTTAGGGTGTTTTTTTTAATTCACTTTATGTCTCTTCCACAATGTTATTTCTCCCTCCTACAATGTAGGTTACAATTACATAAGCATGACCAATTATCTTAATAGCAGTTTTCCTTACTAAGGAGTTGGCAACACTGATCTATCCCATCTTCATTTATATCTCACTGTTCAAGGTGTCAGTAAGACCTAAAGTTAGGTGTATGGCCATTGTGACGAGAGCTGTTTGCTAGGTTTAAGTCACTGAAATGGGTGTTGGTTCCTTTACATGGATTTATCTAAAAGATAATATGACCTGTTATATTTTACATCCCATTCAAGAAGTTTGTGCTTCAGTTTTAGTGAGTGACACTTACTGAATAGTTTATAAGTGCAGCTAATTAAGCTTCCTAGCATTAGCTGATAACAACTAGCCTAAATATTTGAACTTTTGCCAAAGTAAACCAAAGTGGCAATGGCAAAAATGCTAATGTTGTGACTTAAAAAAAAACAACGAAATAAATTTTTTGTTGTTTTAATCGATTAAAACAACAATTAAGAAGCGGCACGTCTTTTTGCATCCTACCTTATTTTATACTGTCAGTTAAGGCAAGGCATTATATTTCATGTGGAATATAAGTTCAGTGGTTTATTTATCTACATATGTTTCTTTCTTAGACTGTAATTTACTCCCCAGGTTTTTCAAGTCAGCCATGACATTTAATTTAGCTTTCACAGAAAATAAAATTATCCATTAAATAACTTCTTTAGACTGGAACAAAGTGATTGCCAGGAAACTACTCTTAAAATAATAAAACAGAACCTTTTTTGATTTTAGAGTCAAACTAAAGAGAAGCGCTAAAGAGCAGAACTGGTTTCAAAAATCTTTTCACAACTTTTATAATGTAATGTAAATTTAGATTGACTTTGAGTAAGAAAGTAACACTTGGGAGAACCAGACTGCCAAAGCACATAGCAGTCGAGAGAGCGAAGCCACAACTTCAAACACCGAAGGGGGAAGCCAAATGGATATTAGTGGTCTTGCTCTGCGCTGTCTCACAGATGAGTGGCAGCACCGACAGTCGCTCTATGAGACCTCTCCGGTGTAGTCCTGACAGACTGCTCCATTTCTGCATTTGGCCAAGGTTTCCACTTCTCACCCTGGGAAGAATAAAGTCTCAGACATTCTGTAATTGTCCTTGAGACTGGACTGGACATTTCCACCATGGCAAGAAGCTGAAGCGGAACAAATGGCACATTCTAGAATATGGAAATGATATTTGCGGTGTGCAGCAGCAGCCAGGGCGAGCTCCATCCAATTTTAAAATGAGGGATTTCAGCGTCTGCATGAGACTTTATTAGTAATGTTTGTAGAGGCTTTGGCTCTTGCGCCTTAGCGGATTCGAGGCTTGTCAGTTTGCTGTGCTCCCTATAGGTCTGAAAGGGCACCCAGGTGTCAAACTCCCTCCCACTTTCCCTCTAACTTTATAATTGAATCTCACAGAGCTTCTGACTTTCAGTGGAGTGCCAGAGATTTATTAATATCAGGGCGCTCCGAGGAGCCATGTGGAAGTTTCTGTTCGTTCTGTTCTTACTTTACTGTACACTGTGGTGTGTTAAAAATGAACAGAGGGGAAACAGGGTAGTTAAACTGTCAGTTTGCCTCACATTCAGCATAAATCCACAATAAACAAGGAAGATGCTTTAGTAATTTCTATGGATGGGGGGAGATCCTACCATTTCTAGACTACTGTGTTGTTTTTGATTGCTGATTGATGCATGAAGCTAATATTGCATCACATCTTTCTAAATTCGTGTATTAACACATACAGATATTGCATTTGTGTTAGAAAAGAAACAGGTCTCACCCATATGGTAGACAAAGTTGGTCTCTGTTTCATAGGACGATGCAGGCGAGACGACATCTCCATCACATTCGTTTGAACTGAACGACTCGGAGTGGCTTCTTCTCTTGCAGGCTGGCGCAACGCCATCGGCCTTCGCCACCATCATGTGCCGCAGGGTGTCGTTCAGGTAGCGATTCAGTAAACTGCTCTTGTACTTGGAAGGAGGGGACGTGCTGTCATCACTGTTGGCGCAGTCAGCCATGGTGAGCATGTTGCCTTGTTTCTCCAGCACGCTCTTGTGGGATGATGACCTGCTGAAGTTTGACTGGCTGATGGGAGTCTGTAAGGGACATTCTTCATCTGCAGCAAAGGAAACAAAGCTGTCACTGATTTCACACTAAATCGATTCATATCAGTGAATATGAAATGTTACAAACTATGATTAAAAAAGAGAGACTGGGTACATCCAGTCTGATGACTTAGAAACTACTAATTCCCTGAAGGTCCTTACCCTCTGAGTCAGTGTCATCACTGCACATGCTCAGCCTCTCCGCGTTTCCCTGGATATATTTATTGTATAGTTTGATCCTCAGGGCCCAGCTCAGGTCTGGCTGCCTCACTGTGTTCTTCAGCCTTCGTCGGGCGTTTGCAAACCAGTTGGAAACCTGCACAGATGCCGCTGTGTTTTTTTTAGGACAGCACTGACTCGCATAAATCAGCACTAATACATCTTTCAAATCACTTTTGCTTCATTCTTCTTTCTTGCGTGAGCTCGTCTCACCTGTACTAGTGTCATGTGCGAGCCCAAAGCGAGTAGGACCTTCTCGGTCTTAGTCGGGTAGGGGTTGTCCCGGTGTTTGTATAACCAGTGTTTCAGGGGCCGGGCCATGTCCTGCAACACCTGTCTTTTGTGACGAACTTTTACGCCAGTCAGACGGGACCTGAAGGAGTAAGAGGTCAACAAACATTGTCCAGCATGCTTACCTGTAACCTGATTGTAGCACTGTAGCAATACTTTCGATCTACTTCACTGTCAAATTTGACTAAATTATGTCATGCAATTAATTTAATCAAAGCGTAGATATCCAAAGAAGTACAAGATCTGAGATCGCAGCATTATTTTAGATTCTTTATAGGTTTAATGTATTTTTCTGCCATCAAAAAAAAGCAAAAAAGTGATAAAATACCCATATCTTCTGTACTTCATGGCAGAGTTGTGTTCTGCGGACTCTTGGCATCGCAGCAGGTCCGCGCTCTGTCCTTCTGCTAAACTTGTCTGAGGTACGTCTGCACAGTTCAGTCTGTTCCTCTCCTCTGCTCTCCTGCCGTCGTCCAAGTGAAGCTCAGACTTCATCACAGCAACTTTGTTCATTCTTAAACGCGCCGAGTCTTCCTCAATCAACAGGTGCATCAGTAAACTCCCAGATGTAAAGAAAGGTAGTAGATTCCCATTCTTGGTAGACTTGGTGTAAAAAGGAATAGGTTAAACATAAAAGTGTCCCTTGCTTTTCTTTCGGTGCTCTCGGGAACAGACGTTGACAGACAGAAGAGGAGAATAATGTTTGAAAAGTCAGATGATGTTGTGCGAGGAGAGTTCAAATAACCTGCTGCTCCGCCGCCTATTGGCTCCCCCCACCGTCCAATCGCTTCTGTGGAGGGGTCTGTGAGGCAAAGCTTGCAGAGCAGCGGTAGCACCCGACAGTTTGAGCGAGATTGCACATGAAAAGAATATCAGCAAATGCGGTCATTAGATTTACAAGTGAGATTTTTGCTTGGTGTGACTGCAGTCTGTGCTAAGCAGTTCAACATGCCCTCATATTTTCTACATGAGGCACATGATTCATGTGGACCTTGCGGTTTTACCAAAAACCGTGTCAGCAAATAATAGTACATGTTTTACCAAGAGATTCTGGAAATTTATGCGTGTAATTACACGGTTACTTATAACCAGCAAAACCACGGAGCTGTGCCCTGTGATAGGCAGCAAATCCTGCTGTTTTCAGATGGATTTCAGTACAAATTGGCCAATCCACAGAGGCCACACAAACACAAGAAAATGACATTAAACTGTGTGTGTGTAATTATGAGTTTGTATTGCGTCTGGGGTTTAAAGTTTTTAAAGTCTACGTATTTATTTGAGTGTCAGGACTGCATTGCATCCCTTTGCACTGTGAATAGGGTTAATCCAAAGATAATGCGCATATTTGTCAGTGTGGGTTCCCATTTTTGAGCAACCGGGACTGTAAATAATTATGGAAACTCATTCTGAAGGAACTCTAACATCATCATTAGTGTAACTAAATGACAACATGTGGGCTCTGAGCCCAGTATTTGAAGACTGGATGGCTCGGCTTAAGCTGTAATTCACGTATGTTTTTCCTCTAAACACTCTTATGTAAGAGTGTTTGGATATACACTGATGACTTTGCCATGCACAATCATAACTTAATAATCTTTAAGCAAACATTTGTGATAAAATGGGGTTTTGGTCATCCTGGCTGCAATTTAAACTTTGGAAATTGTGGCTAAAATCCAAGTAGCACTTGTTCGGTGTATTAAAGCACTCTAAAAAGTCCCATCCACATTCATAATTCAGGACTATCAGCGGGGGAGGTTGAGTTTCAGTGCTTTCAAAGCTGAAAAACACATGTACCAGAAGCGTCCCCGTTAGGTGCTGTAAATTCCTTGCTCACATTCCTCGGCAGCAGTCAGAAAAGGCTACATGCTATCTCACACCATTTACTCCTGTCCCTCTGTGATATGTTCACCGGCTCAACTGTTGATATTAGCTGGGAACACGCCTACATTTGGCAGCCAGGAAACCTGTAAAAAAATCCAAGTGGAAGGATATATATCTCGCTTTGTTTGGATACTTTGGCACTTGTGTCTGTGTATGTGTCGTGCAGGTTCACAAACTCCAGGCCTATCCAAAGGGACAAACACCCAGTAAAGTGTGAAGCAGAGAAACAGATCACCAAGCATTCTTTTTATTAATATTATTTCTAATCCGTTTGGTTCAAACAGACAATTATTGATAGCGCTGTCAAATGTTGTAGATTCTGTTGCATGCTGCTGGCGCTGTGTCCTATTTTAGCATTTCAGCAGTTTTTAGCTAATTGTTTTAGTTTACAGCCTGCAGTTAGTGGAAATGAAGCAGCTCAAGTACTCTAATTAGTTAGCAATTAACAATAAACTGACAAATTAAGTTTCTGAAGAGGATGCATTTCCCCGGTACATTCAGACATGGTGCTAACCAAAATCAAATAACTGTAGCGCCAAGATAAATAGGTAGTGCTAGCATAAAACTTAGTCTATTTCTTCAATTATTATTTCTTCAACGCTAATGATGTTATGCTCTGATGAATGGTAAAATGGTAAATGGCCTGTATTTGTATAGCGCTTTACTAGTCCCTAAGGACCCCCCAAGGCCATGAAGACAAAGCGTTAGCATGTCTGTTGATGCTTGAGCGAACTGACAAACTTGGTGACTAGCTCATGAATGCAGTGTAGCATTTAGCGCCTAAGGAGCTAGCCATTTGCCTCTGGAGTGGGTCGACCCAAAACAGAGCAAAAAAGTTAAGGTGAAAATTCGAATTTGATTCTTTATTGGTTGCAAAATTGTCTTTTTGAGATTTTTGTGTTGCAAAGTTGTTTTGGGTTAATGTCAGCACAAATGAGTCAGCCAAACTCTCTAAACCTACAGTATTCTGCAATAAACTAAAAACCTTTCCCTTCCTGCTTTAGGTTTGTGTATCTTCCATATACTTTTACCATGTGCTTTACTGTGTCGGTTGTTTAAAAGTAATGAACGTTTCCTGCTAACAAACTAGATGTTGTTTAACATTGGTTGTATTTATTGTTACATTCTTCAGATAGACAGCTACACGACTGAGCCAAATTATCCGAGACCAATTGACATCATACTTCTGTGTAATGTTTGAAGTGGGAGCTACTCTGAACATAAAATGGCGGGTTTTCATTGGAGCACTCTGGTGTCTTTAATGGCATCATTATGATCTCAGAGGGTGCCTGCAGATTCTCAGCGGTGTGATGAAATTACACTGCCACGCTTTGGCTCAGGTTGGGCTTCAGACCTGGCAAGAGTGTCGAGTGTTGTCTTGAGAGTCTGCATTTAAAATAGAAAATAAGAAAGAAAGAAATGCAGACATACCAGTGGATGCATCTATGCTGTCTGCGTCCACTCAGTTATGTTTGACTCTTACAATAAGCTTTCCAAAGACAAATAAATATTTGAGACTCGATGATGCTCCCTTTACTGCTGCAGCCCGATCGACTACGTCTAGCTTCACTGTGTTTTTAAAGTACAATTTTATATGTTGTCATAACTTCTCTCCGTACGTCTACGAAGGCCTACGTCCCTTGAAAGCCATTACCGTCTCCCCACATCACACTGCTCTCTCTTCCTCGCAAACACGACATGATAGAGCCATTAACACTCCTTCACACCCAATTGAGCACACCATCCAAAAAAGAGGAAGGAAACACCACGGCTGTAGAGAAATGTAGTCATAAAAACATTGGATTACCCGCCATGTGTGAGTGAGAGGAGTAAAATTTGTACCCGACGACCAGCTGTGATGCTCAAATATGAGTATTTGTTAATGGAGTGTCACTAATGGTGAGTTTCTGCCAATTGTTTTTAATTGTCTCAATATGTTTTCGGGTAAAAGACACCTCGTTGTGGTTAATGTTCTATAACAAAGGTGATTTTCAGAATAGAGCACTTAACAATTAGTTATTGGACCTGCTGCACCTTTGGGTCTTTGCAGTATTTGCAGCATTCTGCTGTTCGCAATCATAAAACGGTTTTTCATCTTGCTTCAGCAAAAGTTTATGATTATTATCGTGTTTGTGTCCCTGCTCCATATAGCATGTAGCTGGCAAAAAAAAGCCTCCCTGACTGCTACTAATAATATTTCTCTGGTGTACATTACAGTTAATTGAAGTGCAGCAGCTGTCAGAATAATTACATGCTGATGTTTGCGACTTGGCAGGGAGGCATTACACTCAGCCACAAGCTCTGGAGAGTTTCCTTTTTTCCCCCTTCTTCTTGTTCTTCTTCTGCAAACTGAAATGTTTTCAGCCAAATGCCAACAGAAAAGCAGGAGCAGAGACAGATGGAGGGAGAGAGAGATGGAGAGAAGTGGAGAAATGGATTCTGCCTAACTGGATGCGCACAAAAGACAATATGGAAAACTTTAGAAATCGCAGCTTTTGTTTAGCCCAGGATTAAAATATGAAATTCAGTCTTCCATGTTGTTTGTTCTAAAATGACACATTACATACAGCTATGTTATATTTTTATTAATTTGTTTTTCTTACTAACTTCATATATAAATCTCAAATCCAGCTGGGCAGATGACTACAGCTTCTCCGTGCTTTTGTTGGTGAGGAGCAGCTCCACTCTGTGGGCACCCACTGGACCCGTGCCTCCTGAATCTTCTCGAGGTCTGACCTCAGCTCTCTGAACGCAGAGGCGATATCTCCATTAACAATCACCTTGTCAAACAGGTGACCGTACTGGCGCTCCATGTTTTCAGCCAAGTCAATCATGTCCTCAAAATCCGCCTCCTGTGAAAGGAAAATAGCGTCACCAGTATCCATCAGACAACAAAGATTCTATCCCTAGATGGAGTGGTGTACAGTGTTGTGCAAAACGACTGCTCATTTCTTTATATTTTGTCAGGAGAATGGGAGATAGGCGCAGTAATGTACTGAAATGTGTAAACATAAATGGAAGTACTGGCAAAATCAGTTTGTGCAGTTGAAAGTCAATATTTGATATGACCACCTTTATTCTTCAACACAGCCTAAACTCCCTTAGGCAGCTTTCTTGTCATTTCTCTCAGTAGTCTTCAGAAATAGTTCTCCAGGCTTCTTGAAGGACATTCAAAGCTCTTCTTTGGATGTTGGCTACCTTTTGTTGCCTTCTCTGTCAAGATGATCCCACACTGCTTCAATAAATTTGAGGTCCAGCCTCTGGGAAAGCCATTGTATGTTTTTCTATCCAGGTGTGACTTTACTGCATTGGCAGTGTGTTTGGGATCACTGTGGTGCTGAGAAATGAAGCTGTTGCTAAACAGATGCTTTCCAAAAGTTACTGCATCATACAAATCTGACGGTTCTGTGCTGATAATTCCGTCAATTTTGACAAAATCTTCAGTACTAGTGGCTAAACCCACAAACCATGACAGAGCCTGCACTGTGTTTTACAGCTGTAGCTCAACTTACCTCTCTCCTGACCTCCTCTGTCTAATATTGATGACGATTTTAACCAAAAACTTCACACTGAGATGTCTGATGAGGTTTCAGTAAACAGTATATGGATCCACTCAAAGGCCTTTTCTGGCTTTCAGATACAGATCAACAGTTGTATATATTTTTTTAGGCTTGTCACTGCTTCTTTTGTTCTCCACTTGTCCAGTCTTTTGCAGACATACAAAAATTATGCCGGGATATGACAAGTTGTCGGCTAAGGCACAAGAAGCCTTTTCACGCAAGTTGAAAACACAGCCCTTTGAGACGAGCCTCAACTCTGAATGGACAGTACCAAAAACTTACTGCAACACAGCTGCGTCACCTTGTGGGTTTGATAAAGGCAACCTGGGCACATGTGGCCAAACAATGAATCTGAACCCAGATGGGCAATTTTAAAGTTACTTAGCATGTTTTGATTCCGCTGTACCCCATCAACTTCAGATGCTTCAGTTTTAAACTCCTAGGACCTGCGTCCAGATTTGTGGACATCACATTTTGGGTTGTCTAGAACAAAATACTAAATTTTGCTCTACAACGGCCTGATATCCACTTACGAGGACATTATACTGCTACTGTCCTATTGAAATTTAAAGCGAATGTCCTCTTATCTGGATCTCATTTTTCTCAGAAACAAAAATCAGGTAAAAAAATAAATAAATCATGTAATTCTTTGTTTTTACATTCATCAGATCCCAGTCAGCCCAAATAGCAAAGAGAGATTAAAAATGCATGCCGTGAAGAATTCGGGTCTTAGGAGGTTAAAGTGAGCAGGTACTCAACAGAACAATATAAAATGCACAGACTCTTCAGTCTACATCAATTTGGTGAATAATTTAAGTTTGTTTCCCTATTTAATGTGATTCCTTGCTATCGCCTATTTATTGTTACAGGTTTTTGTTTGTGTTTTCTTTTAGTTTTTCCCCCATTTAAATCATGATCAATATCACACATAAGCTGAAACTTTTATCTCTGACACAAATACGCTTCCTTAGATGTTATCTTATTGGAGAAGGAGCCAATCAGAAAGCAGTTTTGTAACTTCCCATGTCTTCTAAATGCAAACCACAGCGCCAGTGTAAACTAAGGTGTGTGTTAGTTAGGGGTGTGTGCCACAATGTTTGTCCTCATACTGTCATGTCGTTACATGGAACAGGAACCTTAGTTCACCATGCAATTGCTGGACTGTGTGTGTTTTTTCTTACTGAAAAGATCCTGACTTGGTTAATATCCTCTTCATCGCAGACAAATTTAGCTCTCCGTCTGGTGAGGCGTAGCTCCTCTATGCGCGGTGGCTTGACAAACACCACGTATGGTTTAAATTCAGACGTGTACACACGCTTTATTTTCTGTTGGAACAAAAGAGGATTAGATTAGTTGAAGACAGAAGGCAAGTATCTGTAATAAAATATGTTGTCTAAACAATACACATGTGTTTTCTGAAGACTGGGCCACAGCTTCAGATTCTGTTTGGCAGAAAAAAAACACAAAATCATAACTTTATCCAACTCCCATGATGTAAAGCTACTACTGTTACTTCAACTGTGGCAAAGTAATTACTTGTGAGAGCTTAGAAACTGTTGTTTTTTTCCTAGAAGAACCACTGTCTCGTGTGTCTCACCATCTCATGTGGAGCCGAGTAGAAATCTTACTTTAACTGTTCACTTATTTCCCATTTAACCAAGCAGAAACGTTGCTATCCGATATAAAACCGGATTAAAATGAGCAGTGTGACACAGCGTATAATTAAAAGGTTTGTCCAAAGGTCCAAAAGCTTTTACAAACCATCAAGGTCAAGGTCAAGTTTATTGGTATAGGACATTTAAAACAACCACGGTTGACCAAAGTGCTTCACAGGCTTTCAATAACAACAAACAAAATAATTACAAGATGTCTAGATTTAGCTCGACATGAAGGCCAGAGAGTAGAAATGAGTCCTGAGGAATGACTTGAATGTAGCAACTGTTTGGTCAGTTCTAATATGAAATAATAAGGCATTCCAGAGACTCAGGGACACAATTTGAGAGCTCTGTGTCCACTACTTTTAAAGGCTAAATCTCGGACTATTGAGGATAATCTGAGTAGAAGACCTCAGTGCTCTGACAGGAGTATGAGCATGAATAAGATCAGACAAAGACAGTAGTGCCAGCCCAATTAGAAACTTAAAAATGATCAATAAAATGTTACAATTAAACCTAAAGTTGACAGAACTCAAATGGAGTGAAGCTAAAATTGGAGTAATATGTTCATGTTTTTGTGTTCCATTTCTTTCCTACATACAAAGAATAACAATAATACAGTCAATACAATACAATAATAAGAGCATGTATGACTCTGAGTCATAAGAAAGGCAAGGCTGCACTTTGGCCAATAATCTCCGCTGGTAAAAGAAGCAGTTTTATCACAGAAATAATCTGTTTATCCAAGTTAAAAGAGCTGTCAACACCCAAGTTTTTAACAGATTGATAAATGAACGACCCATAAGCCCCTTTTCCATTAGTACCTACTCGGATTGACTCGGCACGGTTCGCCAGGGTTTTCAGGGCTTTCCAATAAGTCATAGTACCAGGTACTAAAATACTACCTGCTTGGCCGCAGTTAAAAGCAATCCAAGCAGGTACTAAAATGTGACGTCGTCAGACTGCCATGCTACCGATTGACTGGTCACTGGCATCACTTGATGAGTCACAAGAGTGTCTCATTCACAAAGATCAAAACTGCCATTTTTGAAACCAGGAAACGAGGGAAATGGCTACAAAAAACAACGCCCCGGCTCCCGAGTCCGACGAGAAGCAACAGAATACCAGGCATATTGTTGGCTCGACGTCCACTTTGGTTTAGCCTTCCGCATCGCATACTAATTACGTCACGGGATGCTCTGCAGTGTTGCTTTGACGACAACCACGACAACCATGGACATTAGATAGTACTGGATTGTAATGGAAAACCAGTCAATGCAAGTCAGGTCAATCCGAGCAGCGAGAGTAGTGAGAGAGCCAACACAGAGGAAACACAGTCCTACAGCTGCTCACCACAACCAAACATAACAATCTCTGTTTTCATTTCTGTTCATTAAAATTAAGAAAATTAATGTTTAAACAATTCTTTAAGGCAGTCGAACTAAACTTAATGAATTGGGGTCATTAGATTTCACAGGAAAAAAAAAATCAAGATGTTATCAGCAAAACAATGAAAGGATCGGTTAAATTTCTCAAAAAATAATAATAATTTTTAGCTCACTGACATGTGTAACCCAATAGGATTAGGGACAGGATAAAGTGTCAGTCTCTAAGGTTGACAGAAAGAACTGTAGAAAGAAATGACAAAAACTGCACTGCCTCAAATTCCCAAACATTTCCAAATGTTAACCTCAGAGTAAAAACATGTTAGCACTCTGGTTCAAAAACTGTTTTGGCCTGATCACTAATTTCCCCCTTTATGATAACTTTTTGTGGGATTATTATTTATTTATTTGTACCCCTTAGATGGCTCAAAGTTCATTTTTAAGTGGGGAATGATTATTTTTAAAAGAGGGGCAGTAAAAGCCTGCTTGGTGACCTTGTTTGGTGTTAGTGCCTATATGACCAAAGAATAATAAAGTTGTACTAGCAGTTTGCCCAAGTTATCCGTGTTTAGCAAATATCTGTTCTTGTGCAGTGTACCCATGCTGTCACTAAACTTGGTGGTGTTAACTGAAAACTTCCCTGCACCCCACCCTCGGTATAATTACATGTTCAAAATGTTCTGGCTCCCAGAAAACAAGCTGTGAATGTCAGGCTTCAAAGTGGGACTTCAAAGATCTACAGATGATGTCCTGTTGGATAATGCTCATCTCTTATATACAGTCTATGATTTTATCCCATTTTTCCCTCCACAAATTTGGACTGCCCTCATATCCTAAAGCTAACTTGGGGAAAAGTCCACACAGGAATGTTCTTCTTCTGATAGAAGCAGAGTACTCAGTCCTTATTTGTTGCTTTAAACTGCAGGGTTTAAAAAGTGAGGAGGCTCATGCTACTGCTCCACAGATCATGCAAAAAAGCAAGTACAGTGTGATCCCTCACTGGCTTCCCAACATAACTAAAATAAAAAACGAAACCCTTGTGGTGACACATGGGACTTGGAAACTTTACTTTTATTAATTCAACGTGAAAAGGCCACAGGACAAAAACCGAACTGTAAATTTCCATTTCTGAAAAAGGTGCTGGCTCACAATGAATGATTATTTAGTATGAAGAATCAGCGTGAACTGTTTATTAGGGACACATGACTTTTTGGATGGCACAATGCTTACACTGGGGTGAACATCCAGGAGGCAGACCTTGCCCTCTGCCATCACTCTGTGCACAGAGTCTAGACTCGTTCCATAGTAGTGACCTCTGTAACTCCCATACTCAATAAGCCTGGAGGCAGAAAGCATCAGGGACAGGAACAGACATGAAAACAATTAAAACGGCAGAGTAGACAGAGTGAGTGGACAAAATGCAAGCGAGATTATTTTAATACCATGGGAACACATGCTAATGGAGTACCTGTGACTCAGAATGAGCTCTTCAAACATGTGGACTGACACAAAATGATAATCCACACCTTCGCTTTCCTGCCTTTTCTTCTCCCGTGTGGTGTCTGTAAGAGAAGAGCACGGCAGGCGGGAGATGAAACGCATTTTAGCGTGCAGGAGATGACAGTCGAGGAACTCGAAAGCGTCTGTCTTACGGGGTACGGTGACGCCATAGCGGTCGGGGTCGGAGATCAGCAGCCTCCTCTTCAGTTCATTAACGCCAACGCCGCTGGGCCCTCGAGACAAATATCAAAACACAGTGTTCTCCATGTGGGTATTCATTCCAAGTATCACTAATGTGTACTAATGTTTTCCTCAACACAAGCCCAACATCAAATGACGCATCTGTCTTTACCATCAGAGAGGGAGCGACAGTCAGACAGAGCTCTGATTTCAGTCAGATTTTCAGCGTCTGTCTGCGCCCCCCCCATCGAACGTTTAACGCTCCTATACCCTCTGGAAAATACATAGGATTGCACTTAAATGTGACATCTGCAAAGCCACGCAGTATCAATGTCATTATAGTGTAGGATGCACAGGATGAAGCGCACACACAGACACACTCGCGCTGTAGCATCTGGGATTTTCTTCTAGAGCAGGTTTCGGCAGCCCCAGATTGCATCAGACTCTAATGGAGCTCTGTCTGAAAGTGGGATTCCTGACATACCTGCCTTTTCCATCACTGGGTTGCATGAGCTTGATGCATTACAAAATATCAGGTTTATGGACTCTCCGCTCTTACACTTCTAATGCGTTTCACAGCTGCCGCACAGAACCGGAGAGGAGCATCATCGGGCTTTGTGGACGCTTTCCTTTTCAAGAGTTACACGATCTGTGGGCGCTTTAAGTGGCTGGCAGTCACTTTCACCAACTTCCCTGGGGCATAGGGGTCTATTGTTTCATGCAAAGTGCATATGCAGTGCAAACTGAAAGGATATATTTCAAACCTGGTCAAACATCATCCAGCTGGTCCTGGTTTAGTGATCCAAGGTTTTGGTTTTCCCGTCTATAACTTTCATTGCCAATAAGCTATATATTCTTAATGATGACCTCCGGTCAATGAAGAACCCTCACAGCAGACAGTAAAACGTAATCCCGAGTCGGGGTTAGCTCCAACTCAATTAAAGAGGTCTAAATCTAAATCCAAGCTGTCTTAACTGTTCCAAGTTGATGATGGAGCACTTGGCTGACATTATGAGGGATCGTCTCCACCATCCATCTCTTTCTCTCCATTCTTTTATCTATTCTCTATCTGGTATTGTTTTTGCACCTCTTCAGCTCTTTGTGTTTCTCGCTTCTCTTTTCTTTATCGCTTTTTCCGTCTCTTCGCTTCTCGTCTGCCCTCCGTTCTCCTCAGTCACAGGCGACCTACAGTTGTATCGTAATATGACATTAAAAAGACCTTCAGCGGGGCTCAATCTAAAATTCCCTGGGGAGAGATAGAGCTCAGAAATACATAGAGCAGGCCTGCCGGGCTGGCAGAGAAGCAAATCTGAGGTGGGCCGCTAGGTAACTTAAGAGAGCACGGTATATTCTGACTTTGGGTTTTCTGACAGTGTTTACGTGTTTCTGATGGGAAAGGACTGTTCTTGCGCTCATGAGTAGGAACATAAATCTTCATTAACGCATTGCTTTTTCTTTTGATCAACAACATTTTCAATAATACCGTGCTTTACATAAATGGGACTCTGGCATTTCTGAAATTTTTGCAAGGGCTAAAAAAAGGGAAGCTACAGGATGATATAAAACAGAATATAACTGACTAATACACCTTAAACTGCACGGAAATATTTATGCTGTTATCTCCATCATCTCACTGGCACATATTTAACTCTCTCTCTTATTTTTTTTACAAGTTTATGGCTTTTTTTGATAAAATTACTCTCCACACAGCGTGGGTGTGTTCAGGGTGGATATTGCACACACAGAGATAAGTCTTGTACACCCAGGGGAATCAGCTGGATATTAATGTGCCAGTGAAAACTACAAAAAAAAAAAAAAACTATGACAGCATTTTTTTAAAAACTCATTGTTTTTCATCATCATTAAAAAATGCAATGCTTTTTGCTTTTTCTTTAAAGTAGCAAAAACTCCCTGTTGACTTTAATCATTTACTAAACATCATCTTAGAAAAAAAAAATCAGCAATCAGCCCAGAGGCTGTTTTGTCCAAGACAGGAATGTCAGTGAATCATATAAATCATAATCATATAGCCACTGCTCCCTAATCCTTTCTTTTCTATTCCACTAAGAAAAACATAATTTTCCTGCCTAGTTCATCATACAAGTGCTCGTCATAAAAATTACATTTGACAGAGATTTTAGTTTTTAATGAGGACTTGGATAGCTCTACAAAATCTGAATGAAATATTTTTTTGAGTTTTGACTCTCCTAACCCACCTAAGTGTGTCCAAATTCAGGGGCTCCATCCCTCAAAGGACACAAAGGAAGGTCGAGAAGGCCGGAAGTGAGTGGCTGATAAATTAGACCAGGGGTAGGCAACTCCAGGCCTCAAGGGCCGGTGTCCTGCAGGTTTTAGATATCACCCTGGGTCAACACACCTGAATCAAATGATTAGTTCAATACCAGGCCTCTGAAGAATTTCAAGACATGTTGAGGAGGTAATTTAGCCATTTGAATCAGCTCCTTTTTGGGTCAAGGACACATCTAAAACCTGCAGGACCTTGAGGCCTGGAGTTGCTCACCCCTGAATTGGACAAAATGTAACTTTCTAAGATTCTTTATTAATTTAATATTTGGAACAGTTGGATATTTAAATGCAATAAAACCCAATGCTGACTTTAAAAGTTTATCCCTGGACTGCTTTGCTTGGACAATCTGCCATTTTTCTTTTCCAAAAAATGTTTTACAACCACCAATGCACAATAAATCTTGGGATAGAGTGGGTTGAAAAGGATTCACCTGATGCATCCTTCAAATCCCAGGGAAAGGAGGACACATTTGTAGGCCTCGGCTGGAGGAGCCTTAGAATTTGGACAGCCTTCGTCGCCTTGCTTTGACGTAAGAAGCCATCAATTGTGGCCTTCAAAGGATGGAGCCTCATATCGCTCCCCTAAAACGTCTTAAAAATACCCCCCCATACACTTTTTTGTTTTCGTGATCATACATACCAACCAGGATGACCACTCGATGTCTGTCCTTTGGCTCCCTGTGGTAGGGGATCACCTCTATGTAGGTAGGTGGACAAATTGAGCTGTGTACCCCGGCGCTCCATCTCCTGAACCGAGCAGCTTCTTTGGCCCAGCTGCTCTTTCTACCGAGTCGGAAACTCCTTCTTAATCCAGCTGGCAAAGAGACACAGGGACTCTTCAGTAAGGTGTATAACTGGAAAGGTAGCTGTAGATATATGGCGGTCCTAAAAACTTGGGTTAGTTCATTTGAGGCAGGGCTACAAAGCCTCTGGTGTGTACAGTTATGTATATGTGCAAGCAAACCAACACGGCAACATTTGGAGCAATATTTCTCATCACGTTGAAAACATTAACTCTCAGTTTGGCTCCGTTATTAGTGTTAGCCACGTATTCTTGAGGGAAAGATCTGTCTTTAGGGCTTTTTTGGTGGAAGTGAATCATAACACTAAAGCTGTGCTTTATAAAATTAAAGAAGTAGCATAAAGGTTTTTATGGCTAAGTCTGTTGATCATACTGTTTCATCATCTGTGTGTTTCCTTTCATACACATCATTGAATCCATTGAATCCAAAATCTTCTAAAACATTTCTGTCGCTCCCTCTTTTTTTTTGCTTAAAGACGACAACATTACTAGTTATTTCTCAAGTCTGAAGAATTTTTATTTTGAGCACATTTTCACACATTAATAGTCAGCAGAGTTGCGTAAGCCTTGATCTAATCTAGGCTTAATTGACCTGCATCTGGATTTTGCTCTCGTTTTGGTAAAAAAGGCAAAGACCAGAACTCTTGTTTTATACAGTGGAAAGGGAAAAGCATTGAGAATTATTAAGGACAAGAGAAAACAATTCAAGAAACCATCTGGTGTCAACTGCTCTCCTGAGCAGCACACGTCTTATTTAAGAGACAATAATTCAGTCTGTCACGCGTCACTGCTGTCCTGTCTGAAATCCAGCCTCTGCCATGCGACTGTGGTCGGGCCGGGCTTGGCAGACTTGCTTTCTTTCATGATGTTAACTAAGTGATGGTGCCAAGCCCTCTCTGACGTCAACCATAATTTCACTTTGTAAGCATGTCTATCCATTTCCTCTCCAGGCTTCATTCTGAGAAACATACCAATATGATTTCAAGCTTTTGTTTACACTGGATTTAAAATGATGAGCTCTCTCAAATATGCGGGTTATACAAACTGTATAAAAAATAATTTTACAAAGCAAAAAAACAAATCTTGTTTCCTAAAATCAAATGCGCTCTGCACAAAGCCATCTTGTATTTGTCAGTCTTAAATCATTCTGGCAGGCAAATTATCATCAGTGACTGAAAATGCTCCCAGCCCCACATTTGTTGAGATACTAAAAGATATTTCAGATTTACTGATCAGTGTGATGTGACGGGAAAGGAGTGATAAGGCCGAGTAACAGGCCAGCGTACAACATGCTGTGAGCTGGGCCTGAGCCCTTCATGTCAATGTGGTCAGTGTAAAAGAGTTGTGTCTGTAGCATCACAGCCGTCCAACAATACAGTGAGATCATTAGGTGGCACTGAATGATTCAGTGTTAGCAATTAAGGAAACTGAATGACAGGACTGGCAGATTCCTGGTTTGGGACTTCTCCACTGAGGAACCATTTGTTTGTTTGTGACTCAAGAATAAAACATGGACTTAGCTTCCAGGTCAGAAAAACAAAGTCAATGCTGAAGTGCCTTAGATCTCCAACCACAGATGTTGCCATCTGGTGGCGATAGCTGTGGTTGGAGGTGGTTGGATGTAAAGGAAAACAGCTTTCTGTGTCAGTTACTCATTATGTGTCATGTTGAATATTAAATTAAGTCTGTTTTGTAAATTTTGGTCATTTGGTCATACCATATTTCATAATAAAAGATTATGAAAGCTGGTAACAACTTTCAATTCAGTTCAGTTCAATTCAACTTGACTTTTATAGCACCAAATCAAACAGTTAACTCAAGGCGCTTGTGACTGACAAGTAATAAACACACAAACTATGGTTAAAAATAGCTTTTTCCACATATTTATCATTTAACAAGAGAAAATATGACAAATGAAAAGCATCTCCATATATTTCAGAGCTTTTACTTCAGAGCAGAGATTACTGCTGCTGTTCGTACTATTTAAAAAGGCAGAGATTGGGCCTTTATCTGAGCCATGGTCTGAGTAACCCCTGCCTTTCTATTCTAAATGGTAAATGGACTGGTTCTTATAGAGCACTCTTCTACTCTACAGTGGCTTGCAGAAGTATTCGGCCCCTTTGAACTTTTCCACATTTTGTCACATTACAGCCACAAACATGAATTAATTTTATTGGAATTCCACGTGAAAGACCAACACAAAGTGGTGTACACGTGAGAAGTGGAACGAAAATCATACACGATTCCAAACATTTTTTACTAGAGACTGAAATTCTTGCCCATTCTTCTTTACAAAACAGCTCCAGCTCAGTCAGATTAGATGGACAGCGCTTGTGAACAGCAGTTTTCAGATCTTGCCACAGATTCTGGATTGGATTTAGATCTGGACTTTGACTGGGCCGTTCTGACACATGGATATGTTTTGTTTTAAACCATCCCATTGTTGCCCTGGCTTTATGTTTAGGGTCGTTGTCCTGCTGGAAGGTGAACCTCCGCCCCAGTCTCAAGTCTTTTGCAGACTCCCAGAGGTTTTCTTCCAAGATTGCCCTGTATTTGGCTCCATCTATTTTCCCATCAACTCCGACCAGCTTCCCTGTCCCTGCTGAAGAGAAGCCCCCCCAGAGCATGATGCTGCCACCACCATATTTGACAGTGGGGATGGTGTGTTCAGAGTGATGTGCAGTGATAGTTTTCCACCACACATAGCGTTTTGCATTGAGGACAAAAATTTCCATTTTGGTCTCATGTGACCAGAGCACCTTCTTCCACATGTTTGCTGTGTCCCCCACATGGCTTGTGGCAAACTGCAAACAGGACTTCTTATGGTTTTCTGTTAACAATGGCTTTCTTCTTGCCACTCTTCCATAAAGGCCAACTTTGTGCAGTGCACGACTAATAGTAAGAATAAAATGATAAACCAATATGAAGAAGTTGAAAATAATAGAATTTAATTGTAGAAAAATGATCCTTTTAGTTTGAGATTTAGTGGTATTGCTCATTGTTGAGTATATTGTTCTGTTTGTTTTGTTTTGTTTTGTTATGTGCAGAATATTGTCAGAGTGTAATTTTGGTTGCCTACTTGTATTATCACAGATAGGGGGCAGGTGTCAATAAGAATTTATTCTTCTTCCTGCTCCTTTTCATGCATGGAAACAGTGTTACTTTAATTGAAAGGAAGGTTGTGTATGGGAAATGAATTACTGCTGTACCATGTGTGAAACAAAAAATAAATAAATAAATAAATAGTTGTCGTATGGACAGATTCCCCCACCTGATCTGCAGCTCGTCCAGAGTCACCATGGGCCTCTTGGCTGCATTTCTGATCAGCGATCTCCTTGTTCGGCCTGTGAGTTTAGGTGGACGGCCTTGTCTTGGTAGGTTTACAGTTGTGCCATACTCCTTCCATTTCTGAATGATGGCTTGAACAGTACTCCGTGGGATGTTCAAGGCTTGGGAAATCTTTTTTGTAGCCTAAGCCTGCTTTAAATTTCTCAATAGCTTTATCCCTGACCTGTCTGGTGTGTTCTTTGGACTTCATGGTGTTGTTGCTCCCAATATTCTCTTAGACAACCTCTGAGGCCGTCATAGGGCAGTTGTGGAGCTGTTTTGCAAAGAAGAATGGGAAAGAAATTCAGTCTCTAGATGTGCAAAGCTGGTAGAGACATACCCTAAAAGACTGGCAGCTGTAATTGCAGCAAAAGGTGGTTCTACAAAGTATTGACTCAGGGGGCTGAATAATTACGCACACCCCACTTTGCAGTTATTTATTCATAAAAAATGTTTGGAATCATGTAAGATTTTCGTTCCACTTCTCACGTGTGCACCACTTTGTGTTGGTCTTTCACGTGGAATTCCAATAAAATTGATTCATGTTTGTGGCTGTAATGTGACAAAATGTGGAAAAGTTCAAGGGGGCCGAATACTTTTGCAAGCCACTGTATCTGAGCATCAAAGAGCTTTACACAACTAGCCTCATCTACCTACAAGCACTTTTTTCTCTGCTGTTTCTAAGTGCTTTCTATCTAACATTCACACACATTCATACTTCGATGGATGCATCGGGGAGCAGCATGGGGTTAGTATCCCGCCCAAGGATATTTGGCATGCAGACTGGGATCGAACCTTCCAGTTAGTAGGTGACTGGCTCTACCACCTGAGCTACAGCCAACCCCCTTACTATTGTTTTGTATATATTCCTCTTGACTGCTTATATTTCTTCTGCTTATAAGAAGCCAGAGTACCTGAAGAGAACCCATGCACACACTGGGGAGAACATGCACAGTAAACACCACACAGACTGGATTTGAACCCCCGGACCTTCTTGCTGTGAGTCATCAGTGCTAACCGTGATGCCACTTTATAATAGTTGTTTCAAAATAAGCTTTACTCACTGCCTTTGTGACAGAATCGGTTCAAGAAAATGTGCCATGGATCATTATTTTGCCATGACATACACACACGCAGTCAGACTCGAGTTAAATGGATACACAGTACTCTACTAACACCCTTTACAAAGCTCTTTAGTAAGTTGTATGACTACATATTTCAAAGTTGCAACACAGTACTGTTGTAATAGAATCTCTCTGCAGTCAGACAGACCCACCTGCCTACCTACCAAAATACCTCAGCTGCTTCTCTGATTGATGCATGCAGGATCTTGATGCATGCAGCACTAAGGATGTACATGCAAAATAAAGAGTCTGAAGCTCTGTCCTCAGGTGGAATCTGGCCTCAGATAAGATGAAATGCACATTATTAACTGTACACGACTCTTTGAATTGATATTGTGCAATATCTGTAATTACCTTTCCTTTTACAGACGAAAGGAGCCTTTTTACAATCAGCCACAAGTGCACTTCCCCATATGAACATCCTGCACTGCTCACATGCACACATGCAAATACACACAAGACATTATTTCCAATCCATGAGATCAAGACAAATGGGATAAACTGTGCAGCTGAAACCACATTTGCTGTTATATTCCTTTCCTCTAAATCTACAAACCACAGAACTACATCACCAAATGAACTGGTTTGTACGGCAAAATACAACTAGGGTCTCCTTTTTTGGTTTTTATTACAGAGTTTAAATATGTGTGTTTTTGTGATCGTTCAGGTTGAAATGCCCCTGAGTTATATTTTGGAGTAGCAGTCTGGCCCCTTTTCCATTAGTGGGATTTGAGTGGGACAAGTCAAACATCTTACCAACATGGATCCCTGTTATAGCTCTATAGTCTGCATCCTCCGTGACTGGAAAAACTGGAAGAGAGAGGAGAAAGGAAATCACAGATAAAAAAGGAGAACCATTAACAACCATTAACAAAGCTTTAATCTTCGAAATTAAAAGGTAAAGCACGCTCGAGTCGGCCAGTTTGGTTTTAGATGTTACATCTTAGGTACAAACAGAAAACCCCAAACCAAAACCCAAAACATACTCATTACATCATGACAATTATTCTGAAGGTAAGGTTTCGAAAACAAATGGTAACTGACAGTACCTTCCCCCTCCTCTATGACGCATGTGGACAAAACAATTGAAGTTAGTACAAGAGGAGGGTGGCCGGGGTCACCCTGACCATTAACCATGACCTTCAATAGCTTAATAGAAAACGTTTTATACTTTTCAGGTGTGGTGAATTTATGGGCCAAAGGGGTGCATCACCTGGTGGCTTGACTCTTTGAGGCTGGAACAGAGCTTTGGGTCGCTGTAGAGCGACTCTTCTGTAGTAAGCCAAAAAAAAAAAAAAAGGAAGGCAGAATGAAAGCAGGATAGGTGTGTCCATTCAGAGTTTTAAAGTCAAGTGACTTAAAAGCAGGAAAAAGACCTTTCATGCAGCTCCTTCGAGGGGATGAGCCCAGCTCCACCGTTGCTGTCCTCGAGGTGACAGGCCTGCCACCAGGTGTCATCCTCCATGCTAACAATCTGGAGGACGTCACCCCTTTTAAAGGTGAGTGCAGCGTCCTTGCATGGAATGCTAGGATCTTGATTGGGATCATAGTCAAACAGAGCTCGCACAAACAGCTGAGGAAAGAAAACTATGACATTATACAGCCTTCAAGCAGACAAACTGGTGAAAGGAAAACACACAATGCCTTTTTTCATTTATTTATTCACATTTCTGTTTTTCCACAGCAGCTTCACGAACTTCTGTATCCTGGCAATGGACTGCGCTGGTGTTTCTTCGCATATGTCGGTGTCAGTTTTGAGAAATGACCACAATCACTGAAAATAATTTGTCTTAATCCATTGCAAATGCTCTCTAGCTGCTCTAACAGTTTCCAGCGTGGACATACACTCTGTGTGGTGAAGATGGCCTACAATTAGTTCTAGCTAAGATTGTTGAACTTGAATTTTTCCACATAAGGTAGGGATTCATTGTTGATGTTAAATTGAGTCAGTACAGTTTAAACGTTTAAATGATAAAAAGCTGTAAGTTGTAATGACGTTAGCGTCTTATCCTTGACGGTCTGATCTGTGCTTACTTCTTGAGAACCCTGCAGCAGCAGTGACAGCATTGTGGCAGAAACACAAAATATAACCCAACACACGAGATATTGCTGATTTCATACATTTTTTTACTGAAACCAGGTGGACAGTTTTCTCCATGCAGCCGCATCGCATGCTAATGTCCATGCACAACGCACGCTAGCATGAGTGTTATGGTTAATGTTCTTTGTACCTTTTGCTTAGTTGTTGACATTTCTTCCCTGGAGTATGCAGGAATAATTTTGAACCTGACTTCATCCTTAGAGCGAGCCTGCACAAACACAGTGGCATGAAAGCAACAGTATGAGGTACCGCTTTCATATTTTTACACAAAACAGTCGAAACAAGGGGAACAAATTGCCTAGATCTGTGAAAATTTTAAACAATAAATTAAAACATTAAATAAATATGCATTTTTAAACCTTGATTATTGGCATACTTCTTTATTTTTTAGGCTTGCACAATCACCAAAGTACTTTTGTATTATTTTAGCTAGCTACATCATTTCTAGCTGTTAAGCTAAGCTAGCTATTGCTCAAAGTAGCAACAGATAAACATTTTGTTTTTGGTTTGTTTTTTTACTGACAAATAAATCTCACTTTAAATTGAAAGTAGGAAAAAATGGATTTGAAGATAGAGCCTCCGATGAAGACTGTAAACAGTCTGAGAGAAATCAAAATATTAGCAGCATGATGTGATAGCATTTGATGTTTTCTCCGTTTTTTCTCATGTTTTTACCTTAAGTAAGATTTATAGAGTTATGGCTACTCAGATTTTTTTCATTACATGTTACAATATACTTCTAGCCTTGATCCTACAAAATTTTACCTTAAAGAAAAGTTTAAAAAAAAAGTGGTTAGCTTGTGATATTGCTCTTTACTCTAACCTAAATTTATTGCTCTTGTATTGAATTAGGTGTCACAAGTTGGCCTTAACACTTTGCACATGACTGGGTAGCAATTTATTGCAAATAGCCTGTGTTGTTTATGTTTTTGGAATCAAATTTTCAAAGATTTACATCATGATCGCTTGTATTTTCATTAGACTGAATATTTGAGTTTGGTTGGACCCCATAAGATTATCTGCTTTTTAGTGGGCTGTTGAACTGGCCGGAATGGCAGGATGATGGCACATGATGTTTTAGCTAACTGTCAGCCGAGTCCTCTTCATTTGATAGCGCAGGTGTTAACACATTTGGCTAACAGAGCAAAGAGTTCCAGTTCACAAACCCAGCCTTGTGTTAGGCAAGTAACACGCTACTGTAATCTGTTCAAAACCAAAAAATGTGGTCAACCTTACAGAAATATTGTAATTAGGTAAACAATAATTTTTTTACAGAAGTGAAAGTTTAAGTAAAGTGGAAAGGTTTATTGGTTTTGGTGGCTTAATGAGAAAAAACATGTGAGACTAACCAGCAGAGGAAGGATTTCCTTTGGCTTCCTGTGCTCTAGTGGGACTCCATTCACCTCTTTCAGCTCATCGCCTTCATGGATGAGGCCTTCAAAGCATTGGAGATTAATATGGAAACCTGTACCTCATGCTTTTCTTTAAAACATGGAAATGTACAATCACAGCATTTCTGCAACCTAATGTAAGCGAGGATGAAAGAAAGCATATTTGCAATCAAGAGTCTATCAGCTTACCGCTTTTGTCAGCTGCGCCTCCTCTCATGATCCTCGCCACAACAATAGCCCCGGTGGATGTATCCCTCTTAACTGTTGCTCCCTTAAGGACAGTGATTAGTGAATGAATGGACAAGCATACGAGCAGATGCAGAGAGGCAAAGAGGTCAAACGATGGCGAGTGAAAGTAACATGTTGAATTTATTAGGGCCTAGACAAGCTTCTTATTTAAAGTCCCCTGATTCCAAGGAAGGTTATTTGTATCAAGACAGGCCCATTTAGGCGGCTGCCTTCATGTAACACACAAAGCGCTGGAAAAGGTTATTCAAATCAGCATTATTTTCAACAGATGTTATTGATGTGGAGCAAATCGCAATGGAAAGAGCATCTTATGTAGCTGACTACAATCAGCTCATGCTCGGGTGTAACCCTGTTGTCTGGAAAACATGTTGGATTGATCAAAGAGGCTATGTCAGAAAAAGGTCAGTCCCCTTCCAATCTAATTTTGGGATCAATACAAAAGTATGTTCTCCATTATTGGTCCGAAGAGCCTTTTGGAAGCTCAATCACCAACACAGGAGTACACACACACACAAAAGCAAAAATGTCCGTCATTAAGTAAATTACATTCATATTTATCCTGAAAACATATTTAAATTAAACCCATCGCTGGGATTTCTGCGCTGTTTGTTTGTCTTTTGCTTAGTGAGATATCTCAGAAAGCTGCCATTAGAATTCACTGACATCTGTTGGAAAGTAAAGCAACAATACGAAATAATAGAAAAGCCTGGTTTTGTGATGTAGATCCAGGATTTTTCAAAAGAAATTTTCACTTTGCATTTGAGGACATTTCTTCTATTTTCTAATAAACTACTGGGCGTACTTGAATGGGGGAAAACCCTGCCATATGAACCCCACTGCTATCAATCACTGACTTTATGGAGATTTTGATCCAGAAGCAACTGAAAAAACTGATTATAATAACAAATTTAGAGGATTTGTGGCATTGGCAGAGGTATGCACGCTTTGTAGTTTTACTGGTTTCCTGCCCCGTTTCACTTGATCCAGGAAATATCAAAAAAAAAAAAACCTGACAATGGCTGAATGTTGAATACGGGGAATCATTCCGATATGATCGAGAAAATAAGCTTTGATTAAAGACCTCGAAACTAGTTGATCTTCATCAGTAACAATCATTCTAAACGAGCAGAACAGCTTTAAAATGCCATTAAGAGGGGTTTTTTTTTTTTTGCTGTTTATACACACAAGTTTTGCACACCATACACATCTGCACAACAATGCTGGAACCGTGCCGCTCGTCTCTGCAGATATATGGCAAAAGAGATGTGGAAGAATTGACTCTGTAAATTTTGAGCTGAGGAAAGCTGCCTTATGTTTCAGCCTAGAGGCAAATGTGATCCTGTCAAAGGCTTTCGTCCCGCTACACCTTGGCATACGCCGCTTTAGCAGTCACGCTGTTCAGCAACACAGCATGAATTCAGTCCCTGGAGAAAACTTCAACCTATTAGATGTGCTCATTGCGCTGGATTGTCCGTGTGTGTCAGTTAATGTGGCTGGACAAATTGCGCATTTTTAGGCACAGTCGCCTTGTTACATGGTAGCTTTGACCTAAATGTTTGCATTTCTCTATGTTTTGCGTGAGGTCTGAGACCAGGCAGGCCGTATTAGAGACAAGCTGGCACGCAGCACAGACAGAAGGAATTCATTTTCTCGGCATGACGTTTTTGTAACCGGCCTCTGGCCTCTGTCACTGGAAATTAGTTGTATCAAATGTGTTTATTTGTTTCGCTGCTAAGAGTTAAATGAAGATTCACATAACCGCTGCATCGTGGCTCTCTCTCTGTCGGTTTCTTTTTTAAAACCGGACCTTTGAGCAGACTGTACTGACCAGAGGCTCTTTGGTTTTGACCAAACTGACAATTTTGACCGAATCCTCCTCGTCCTCCAGTGCGTCATCAGGTATGGGTGGCAGAACAGGCTCAAAGTCTCTCTGAGCTACAGCGTCATGGACATGCAGGAGACTCTGCAAAAGGAATAGAAAAAACAGTCAAGATGGTGTTCAGCTTTGAGTTATGTCACTTTGCATTCTGGGATCTTGGAAATACACTGGGCTGAGTCCAATCAATCTGACATGCACCGAAAAGAAATACTCCTCTGTAAGTGTCCCAGGCCATACATACTCTGAACATAATGAGGCATGCAGGCTGTCAAGCTGCTGTCAGATTCAGCCTGTGCACAAATGCTGGAGGTGTCATTGGAAAACTTGTCCAGTTTGAATTTAGGTAGGCAGTAGAACTGCTGTCCCCACTATCCCCAGTGTCCCTAATGTCACCAGCTTACACGTTTAGATCATCTGTTAGGTAAAGCGTAGTCTTAGAAAGGTTGACAGCCAAGCTTCGCCCCGAATACACTTATCTAATCCAGAGGCAGCAGTTTCCTCCTGGAATATCAGCCTGATTTAGTTTGGAATGTACCACCAGCCTGTGGGCCACCTGAAAGCAGCTCCCCCTCATCACTAACACTGACTCTGCCTGCAGCCATCTGGCTCAGCTCAAACATCGCGCATCTTATAAAGGATCACTTCCCAGCGAATAGATCTTTGACTTGCTATCAATACCCAGGCAGTTCATTTAAATTATTTTTGATATGGTTGCTTTGGCAGTGTGAAATCCCCGGTTTTGTTTGCTGAAAAGCAACACACAGCATAAATGTTAATCCCTCTCTCTGCGAGCCTGTGCAAAATGCAGTTCCAAACAAGAAGGTCATTTACTGTAATATGAAAGAATGAGAAGAGGGGGGGAACATGTGCTCATCAACTTAATTTTAATAATCAGCCAATCCATCTGTCAGTTAGTCTACTTGTTATCCGCATATCCATCAACAGTTACTCTGCTCAAAAGCTGCCAATGAGTGAGCAACGTGTCTCTGGCCACTTTCACAGACAGGTTTTAAAAAAACAAACATTCATTTACAGGATATTATACCCAGTGTCTCTTATAAGTATGTGCGAGCCCGTGCACTGTGGCCAAGAACAAACAGGTCATTAGGGCTGTTCAAACAAACCTGTTAGTTGTCGGCTGGCTTCTGCTCCTCATTAGGAAAAGCCACAACTTCTGCAGTTCACTGGAAAACCATATGCGCTGTGTACGTATGCTACGTGTATGTGTATGTGCATCTGAAAAATGACTGTCAGCAGATCCGAAAGAAGGAACTGTGCGTTTGAAGAGTGTGGACCACTATATGAGTGCACACTAATAAACATAACTCGGGAGTAGATTAGCTTCAGTGCTAGTGTGGTTAATAGATGTCAGCACCTCTCAGCTGCAGAATGATGAGGTGTAATCAGTTTAAATGAACTTTACGGTCAGATTAATTCGCCACTTAGAGTGACTCATATAAGAGTGGATTGTAGGAAACATATACTGTAAGTCGTTTAATGTATATGTGTGCTTGTAGCATGAACGGAGATTGAGCTGTCAGCTACAATTTTAATGTCAACTATCTTGGAAAAAATTACTGAGAAGTACACAATTACTTTTCATTGTTGCCATTGAATTTTTGGTGCTGGAGAGCTGAGACAGAAGTGAACAAAGCAACACGTTTTTTTGGCTGCTTTTTCATTTCGTCTCATATCTCATATTTCATCATCATATCTGAAAATCCTTGTGGAAGAAACATGCACCCTTTCGCAGTTCAAGTAATGTTTGTGTTTAGCAAAAAGAGTCAGTTCCTTGAATACTTAGATAAGACTGAAGCCTCTTTTCTATCGCTCTTGAAAATAGCAAGAAGCTGTGAATTGCTAACATAAGATAAAAACTGTAAACGGGGAAAAATAAGAAACTATTCTAATGAATATTTGTTCTATTTTTTGTGTCGGTTTTTTCTAATAAAACAAGTTAGCTGCATCTCCAATTAGATCACTCTTTGCCTTCTTGCTAAGCTAAGCTAACTGGCTGTTAAAAGACAGGCATGAGGGCAGTATTGATTTTCTGATCTATCTCTCAGCAGCAAAGTGTAAAGTCATCAGCAGCTAAAGATTTCCATGTTTCATATTGGGTGTGCTGGGTAAATATGAAATCTTGTCTCTTGTTACGACATTTGCAACAATTGCAGCTTTAGAGCTTTAGAGCAAGACAAACCAGGAAGTATTAAAACAGGTCCAGTGGCTGGGCTCCTGATGGCTCACTGCAAATCACAGACGTCCATACCACATGAAATTCTTTACAATGCATCCTAAAAATGGAGCTTTACTTACCGTATATAGCACTTTTATACTCAAAGCACTGCATATTAGAAGCCACATCCACCACTATACACACCTTTCATGCTGTTCGCTAAGTGCCTGGCTAGGAGATGAGGGGACTAACATTAGTATAACCAGGAAAGGAAAAAGCCAAATAGAGTGAGTTGTGAGAAAATAATATTTCATTAAGGACTCGACTCACAGAGTCTGCTGCAGTGCTATTTCAGCCAAACAAAAGGACCACAAGCTAAAATATCCTGAAAAGTAAAGGAGATGTTTAACCAAGTCAAAGGGAAAACACTTCTGCTACAGGCAAACACTTGCTACTTACTGGTTGCTTAAAGACTCATCTTATCTCATCTCATCCTCAGGCAAACCATTCAAAGCTGTCCCACTCACTGACAGAGCAGCTCTTCACCAGCTTATATACTGGCTGACTGCTGAATGTGCACTGGCATAGTGTTACAGGCCTTTAACCAATTCTGAAAAAGTCAGAATGCCATGTAAAACGTAAATAAATGTAAATAAAACAGATTGCAATGATTTTTTTTACAATATAGCGTAGAAAACATAAGAAATGTTTAAACTATCAAAATGACAACACCAGAAGCACGTGGGATCATATATTGATTTCTGTCTGTTTTCCTTTTATTTATTTTATGTTTGTGTACACTTATAAATGGTAAATGGCCTGTATTTGTATAGCGCTTTACTAGTCCCTAAGGACCCCAAAGCACTTTACACAACCTGTCATCCACACATTCACACACTGGTGATGGCAAGCTACATCGTAGCCACAGCCACCCTGTGGGACACTGACAGAGGCGAGGCTGCCAAACACTGGCGCCACCGGGCCCTCTGACCACCACCAGTAGGCAACGGGTGAAGTGTCTTACCCAAGGACACAACGACCGAGACTGTCCAAGCCGGGGCTCAAACCGGCAACCTTCTGATTACAAGGCGAACTCCCAACTCTTGAGCCATGATCGCCCCCAAGAGTTGGGAGTTACCTTATACTACTACTACCTTCAAGGTAATTTAAAAGTCTACTGATAAATTTCGCTAAAGCGTTTCTATTAAAATAATCATTGCTGAGTAGTCTCCTCCTCTGTGATTTAGAAGAACAGGAAGTGGTGAGTGGGAGGGACAAGAGAGAACGATAACGCGGCAGATTTTTTAAGCTCTTTAATTTTTCTACTGCTAGTTTTACAAGGTGTACACGGTAAAATTGTGCTAGTTAACTTTAAGTTCTTGTACACCTTGTTAAAAGAAGGTCCGAGATGGATGTCATATGTACTAGTGAAATGATTTTGTTTGTTTTTTTGATTGTGACAGGGGCGCACCAAGAGGGGTCAGGGGGGCCACTGGCCACCGCTCAACTTTAATAGCTGGAAATTAACTAGGCATATAATTATTTTCCCCCCTCTTTTTTTGCCATATTTTTCAAGTAACCTATATTTCCCAACAGCATAACAAAACTGGAAATTCTGTTTTTAGTGTGCCACCCCAATATTTTAAGTGCCCCCCATATGAAATAATTCTGGAGGTGCTCCTGGATTGTGAGAGAAATATAAATGGAATTGTGGACATCAGTACGAAGCGTGGATGCTGTTGACCAGAGTAGATACAATGACATTTTATATACAGGCATTGCATGGGCTCAGAATGCTTCAGAAATCATTGCCTGTAAACACAGTTCACTATGCCATCCATAAATGCAGGTTAAAGCTCTATCGGGTACTTTTGAAAAGGACCGAAGAAAAGAGGAAAACCTTTCTGTGGTCAGACGGTTCAAAATTCTTCTGGACTACAGAGGAGAGGGACTATCTGGCTTGTTATCAGCTCTCAGTTCAAAAGCCTGCATCTCTGGTATGGAATTGGAAGCTTGCACCATGAATGCTGAAAGGTTTTAGAACAACATATACTCTCATCCAAGACAATGCTAGAATATTATCACTATCAGACAGGAATGGGACAGCATTCCCCTCGCAAAAACCCAGCAGCTTGTCTCCTCAGTTCCCAGGTATTTACAGACTGTAGTTAAAAGAAGATGAAGTGTTTCACAGTGGTAAACTTGTCCCTGGGAAACCTTTTTGAGACACATTGCTTCCATCAAAATCAAATTGAGCTAATATTTTTCTTAAAATGGTGCATTATCTCTGCTGTGTTTTCTGTGTTCTGCTGAAAATAAAAAATATGGGATCAACATGTTGATGACACGCTTTACCTCTGTATATATATTATATATATTTTTAGCAAAGGTAATATATATATATATATATATATATATATATATATATATATATATATATATATATATATATATATATGTTTTTTTTTTTTTTTTTTTATATATATATGTATATAAATTCCCTTTGCTAAAAATGCTATATAACTGGCCCAGGAGAGGGGAAGCTTTAGCTTGACACATGTGAAGTTACAGTAACATGTCACTGTGGAAGGAAATATTTTTACCTGAAAGTGGGGTTTGGAAATGAGGGCAAGCAGCTCTTTGACTTCCTCCCTCCAACCCTGGTATATGAGCTCCTCTGCCAACTGGAACAGGGAAGAAGGGAGAGGTCGGATGTTTATAATTAGAGGTACTCTTTTTATGTTAAGGCTTTTGTGACGTTTTCAGGTAGGGAAACAAGCAAAAACGCATAAAAGGTTCATGAAATTTATATCTGCCGGACACAACGTCAGTGCTGTCGTCATTTCAGACACTTTCCTAAAACCCTGTTTGCCTCACGGGGAGTTTTCTCATCCTGGTGTGAGCCATTTGTCTGTTTCCTGTTTTAGCTTTGCGTCTCGAGTCACTGTCGGAAAAAAAAGAGAACACTTCTGAATGTTCAAGGCTACACGACAGCTGTGGTGACAGCTAAAACAGAGCAGCCTTGACCGTCGGCAGCAAGTGGAGAGGCGGCGAGTGACTGTGTGCAGTCGCCCGTCTTGTCAGGCATATTACTGTAATGACTTCTACTGCTTCAAGATGTCGAGGCACACTCCAGAGACACAATGCATGAAGGTCATTAGTTTCCACTGTGAGCAAACAGAAGCCTCTCTGAGGGGAAACAGAACCTCGGTTTGGCCCTTGCAGTAGGTCCTGATGATTTAAGCCAGGCAGAGAGTGGCTGTCGTACTGAATCTGAAGCAAGGGGACTGAAGGGAGGGAGCTGAAGTGGGGGAGTGTAGCAGAGAGACAGAATGGAAACATGGCAGATATTACAGTATATGGATATGAAAAAAAGAAGAAATGGAAGGAAAAGAGAACAAGAAAAGGGGTGGAGAGGTAAAGATAATGGAAGGGAGGGAATGTTTAGGGGTGGAGAGAAGAATATATGGAAGGGAAAAGGGTTAAAAAAAATTCAATTTGGACATTGTCCAGGACAAAGGTGGTGAAATCAGAAATAAAGGTGGGGGTTAATCGAAATATACAAATTAGTCATGGGGATGGATGAAAATGAAAGAAAGACGGGATGGTAACAGGAGTGAGGATGACGCACATCTGTCTGTCACGTCAGCCTAAATCTGAAATTAACTGTTTTCCTGAAACATTAGATGGAATGATTTCCGCGGCTCCCGCTTGGTGCTCAGTCTTCAATGATCTAACTCTTGGCTCATGAGTTAAGAAAGAAAAACTCCTTTAAAACAGCCTTTTCAAACGATGATATCTAAGGTGACAGCGCTTGAGACAACATTTCATAATTGAGCACACATAAGAAGAAATCCTCTTTGTGACAGGAAAGTGAGAGAAGACCATTGGTGAGATAACCTCCCCCCAGAACTGTTCCCTCTTCTGTCAAGCTGTCATCCTCGGCAGTGTGTCTATCTGCAAAAGATGTTTGGAGACGGTCACTTACACTTGAGGCCAGATTCGCCGCGTGCTCCTGGACGGGGACGGGGCTTCGCTTCTCAAAACGCTTCAGTTGCTCGTGAACCTGGCAAGTAAGGAGAGGATCATGCAAGAGCTTTTCTCTGCAGTAAAGGGGAACTTTAACTATTACTAGTTACTTATCAATAACTACTAATACTACTGCTGTGAAAACAACTGGCTACTAATATAGATTTAAAGAAATTTAAAAAATCCCAAAGTACTTTAAATATAAACCTTTAATACAGCACACAGCTGTAGTGAATCTGTGATATGGTTTTATTGTTTTTGAGACTGGTGGAAAATATAGTACACTGTTGCACTTGCTGTAAAAAAATACAGGACACCGTTCTTTTTACAGTTAAATCCTGTAAATGCTGACGCCTTTAAGGGAAAAAATGATTAAGAGCAACTGCTGAACTAAGGCCACCATGAGACTCCTGTTGCCCTGAATCACTTCCAGAACAGCCCCCGACCAGATTTTATTTATGTAACAACATTTCATGGAAAGTTTACATGTAATTAAATTAGTTAAACTCAGCATCGAATTTGTGTGTGTGTGTGTGTGTGTGTGTGTGTGTGTGTGTGTGTGTGTGTGTG